ATCTATCTATCTATCTATCTATCTATCTATCTATCTATCTATCTATCCATTTATATCTTTCTATGTTCGATAGTGATTAACAACTGTGGTTTAAGTAAACAAAAGTAAAGTTATATATTGTAGTTCAAAAGTGAAGATAAAGGAACTGACAGATAAACAGAATAGTGCTAAGTTATATATTCTTCAAACTAACCAAACTATAGAAATGTAGATTTCTAGATATGTTTTTTTTTTAAGAGTCTAGTGTGAGATGGTAGTATGTTGGCAAAGAACGAAGAGATCATCTGATTATATTTGGCCTCGTTCTGCATGTAGGTAGAAGAGATGCAGTCACCATTTTAGAGTTCCTGTGAAAAGAGAAACTGACCCTCTAGGCTCTTGCGGTGGAGGGCACACGCAATGGTGTAAGGCCACTTTAGCAGCGCAGTTGAGTCATTTCTCATGAACATCCTGTCTCAAATGCATTTTCTACTAACTAAATTCATTAAACCTATGTGAGCTTTTATTTTGAACCGTAGATGTTTTTCAGCCACTTGTGCAAGAACAATTCATGAAAATTTGTTTGACACAATTTTATTATAAAAATGTGTTGGAACACAAGCTTGCATATGAGTCAGACATTACTGTCACTAAAAGTTCATTTAGGAGGGTTTTTTTCCATTTATTTTTTTTCTCTCGCTGCTCTGAAATTGTAATGCAGTTAGCACGCCACTTTTGTGCAGCACTTCAGTGTCTAAATTCCTAAACTTTTGATGCTTTTCTGATTATAAGCATTTTGTTTTAGTCAGAACCAATGATTCTAAAACATAGCCATGTGTGTAGAGTGTGAGCAAAGCTTTGTGGACTGTGAGTCCAATTTGTGGAAATTCATCATGTGATCTAATATTTTAGAGGAGTGAATAAATTCATAGAATTGACTGAAAAAAGGAAATTCATTGTGGTAAACTTCCCGTGTCTTATGTGAAAAATTTAAATAGTTTTGCTCCAGAGTATGTAGTGGAGGTACAGGGGAAATGTTCTCTACATCCTGATCTTCATTACAGGAGCACTATTTTCTATACCCACATTTGATGCAATTTAGTCCTATTGGAAACATTCCCAACTAGGCAATCCACCCTCACTGTCGAGGGTCCACTAGGGCCACACAGAAAAAAACAGAAATGTTCAGTCTAAGACTTAGGACTATTTAAACACAAGTACCTTACATGCATGTTTTTGGACGGTGGGCAGAAAAGAGTACCTAAAGAAAACCTGCAAATTCCATCTGTTTACACTTTCTTCTTATACATTATAGTCTGCCCAGAACAGCTGTAGTATGTTGTTTGCAGATGTAAACGCAGTAAAGGACTACCGTGACTGAAATACATTTTTAACACTGTTTAAAGTAGAAGTCAATAGTTGCTCTTTGCAACTTTATTAAAAAAGGTTGTTGTAATAAAAGTTAATAGTAGGCTATTTTTTATTATCAGTTATATTTAACCATTTAACTTTTTTTTATTTCACTCCTAATAGATATCTCTCTGTTTTCTTTTTCTTTTCACAGCTGCTCTCTCCGAGCCTGAGATCTGCTATGTGCTTGATGGCGTTCTGTTTCTATATGGCATCATTTTGACTGCTCTTTACTGCAGGATTAAGGTTTGCATAGTATATTTCTATATATATTTCCAGTATTCAAGAACATGATGAATAAAGAGAAATGGTGCCCTCAATGACTGGAAGCAAAGGCTGTTCTATCAAGTCATCCACGCTAGAGAGTAAAATTATTTGTTCTCAGAAAAGTGAAGTGTGCATTAAAAAGAGACAACTGCAAGCGAAAGCCTTATTATTATATTCCTACTTCTCAAACTGTAGGGAGATTACAAGATTGACATCTCCCTCTCCTGCACCTCCTGTTCAGGTTTTAAAAAAACTAAAACTTATGGGATGTATTTATTCTGCAGTTCTTAAATTTGCAAAGTACCCCAGAAAGCTGGTATGCTACTTTTGAAAATCCTTTGTAAGAAAATATACCCCATATGTATGATCTTATATACTATTAGAAGTATTCAAAGTGTGCGAGATAATAATTTCTCAGATCTTGTTGATATTTTCTTCACCAGTTCTTTTTCCACCCTGGGGCCTTCAGATTTTGTGTACAACTTATTTGTTTAATTCTAAATCAAATCATGCATAAACCAAAATCTACTGCTCATCAACAACTGAAAATCTGATATACCTCTAAAACATTAATGTAATGTAAGCTTTATAAAGCTTATTGGCCTCAACACTATAAATGTCTTTAAAGGGAATAGTTTTTACTGTCCAACAGAAGTAATTAGTATACGAATTTGAAAAGAAATAATTAAATGCACGTATTTCTCTCCAGATCTGCAGTGCTCGAGAGGCAAAGAATGGGAAAGGAAAGTCCAAGGTAAGTATTGTGGTTCAAATGTGTCAAAAATAAACACAAGGGCCTGAATTCATGTAGAAAGCAAAGGCATGTACGATACCACAGCACGACGTTGAGTTTCAGTTGACAGGGAACAAACTGAGGGTAAACAATCTCACTGGTCAAGTCAAACCTCAATGGACCAATGCTGACAACATCATGTCTATGTATATACGTGTAAAGCTTAGTGTCTGTGGTTGGCTCAGCTCTTGTTTCGTTTCCTTTGCTGAGACGACCACTGCACATTCTCATCACAGAGAATTTAATAGTGACTTCTGCTATATGCAACTTTTCAATAATGCCTGATAGGAACATCTTTAAAGTAATCTTTTTCATACATTTATCTCAGCTATCTGTGGCTTGTAGTAAAAAACAGAAATGATCTTTTGTTTGAAAAAGTTTCCTCATAACTAACTACATATATTTTCTCACTTTTTTTGTCTTTACATCAGTATGTTGAAGAGGGCATATACACGGTAAGTACATTTTGTGATGGAGATAAGCAGAGTGTTGTAAGCTGACGTAGCATATCATGGAGTGCACCAAAGTGATCTTCCCTATCTCCTTGTCATCCCCTCAGGGTTTGACGCCTCATTCCCAGGACACCTATGAAACTATCGGCATGAAGAAGTGATGAGATCAAGTGCAATCATCTTTTAAATACGTTTATGCTTGTACTTAAGTATGAAATATCATACCCTGCTTTTTTACACGGTTTATTTCTCATATGTGCTACTGCAGAGTGTACCAGTTGTTTAGAACAGAAAAAGAGAAGTTTGCCACACGGCTAGCTGGTTTTAAAATAGCTCTGCCTGTTGTTAAGATACTTTTTCCGTTCCACTGCATAGACTTCATTCTTTATTTCATTAATTCTATCAGGTTTTGGATATGTTTGATATAAGTAGGTTTTAATCATCATGGTTTGACCTGGGTCAAAATACTGCCTAGTCAATATGTTACAGACTTTTCTTTTTTAAGCCTTTTCAAATATGCTAATTTTTGTGTGAAATTTGACAGCAATTATGTACCACAAAGTTTGATTATGTTTTTAGTCATTCGAAGGCTAATATTCTCTAAAAAATTATCTTTAAAAAAAAACAAAAACTTTTTTGTCTATGTTTCTGTAAGATGGTAGATGGCTTGGGTGTTAGGGGAGTGGACTCTATGTTTCTTATTCTCTTTTGAGACAAACCAGCAGTCTTTCCTAATCACCACAGGATGGCAGTGATGGAATCTTTGTTCCTTTTTCTTTCTGTGCTTGCAAAACAAAAAGGCAAAACTTCAAAAGCTGTTATATGTACACACAAAGTTTATTCAATATTTCGTATATACATCACAAAATTGCTGCTTGGAGTTTGAACTGAGATTTCCGTAAAAAAGTCATTATTTTAGCTTATCACACTGTTAAATGAGGTTACCATTTCTTTACAGTTGTTCAACTTTTCCAATGTAGCTAGTAAATATCTATTGTGTGTGCAGACTTGGTTTCTTGAACAAATCAGTATGGATTAGTGTACCATGACACACACATAGAAAATTTAACTAACAAGTGTTGCATTTTAGGTTGTGACAATGTTTACTGAGATTCTGTGATAGGCTTTTCAAAAGACATAATGTCCTTCCACTACATGGTTTTGCTGTAAATCTTGCAGTTATCATGACGAGTCTATGTTATTAGGTGGGGTTTGAGGAGGTTCTTTGTGCCTTCTTTTTGCTTTCCTCTCCACTATGCAAAGCAAGTAAAGACGCGCAAATAACTGTCATGTACTTAATACAAACCGGTTAAGTGACTTTAGTGTCTATATGCGTGTGTGAGAGTGAGTCAGAGGGAGAGGGAGGGGGAGAGGGAGGTGTTGCTCAAACAGGTGTAACCCATAAACGGGTAACACTGCACCTATCCTTTTGGTTTGAAATACAAATTTGGATGGTCTTGCATATTAAGCAGGGCTGCCTCAAAACTTACCTCCTGGATAGCTACGTTGGCAAGGATTTAGATCTCAGAGGAATAAAGCAATAGCAAGGATGATCCAGCTCCACGAGGCACAAGGACACCTCATGCTTTTAAACTGACCTGTTATTTTGGAGTTTATTGTTATTACATGGACGAATGAGCTTTGTCCCAGTGCTGGAATTACCCAGACTTGTAAAGAGTTAGCAGTACCTGCTGTGGAGGATGACATCTATGCTGAACAGCTTCTTGCTGTGTCTCTGTGTCCCACAGATTGGTAAGAAAAGCCTTTCATTATTTTAAGTCTGGTCTTGCAATTAATGATTCATTGTGCAGATGCAATATCTATATACTTCTTAACTTCTATACCACTCAGCTTTCAATGTGATGGGAGCAATTGAATTTGTTTTTTAGGTAATTTTCTGTTTGTTAAAACTGATGGTGACAAAGGGGTTTCCTGTAGTCCAACAGCTTGTCGCGCCAATTCAAGAGTGTTTTTCTGTAAGATTTGGGACAGGTTTCCTGCTTTCCTAAAGTATAGCCTGATCAGGACTGTTGGAAGAAAACAAAACACTTGAGGTGTTGTGTGATATTTCAGGAAAAACAAGTTGCCAGCGATCAATCCCCCTCCCAATTCAAGGAACTCTCTTAGCAGGCATGTGCGACTGTTGCTTCAAATCCAACTCAAACAATTTTCAGGCTCATCTGGCCCAGGGGCGGCATGGTTGTATGGTGGTTAGCACCATTGTCTCACAGCAAGAGGGTTCTGGGTTTAAGTCCCTGGTGGAACCAGGACCTTACTGTGTGGAGTTTGCATGTCCTCCCTGTATCTATGTATGTATACTCCAGCTCATCCCACTGTCCAAAAACCTGCACGTTAGGTTGATTGGACATTTTAAATTTCCCATAGGAATGAGTATGCATGGCTGTATGTCTATATGTGGGTACTGGATGACCATTTTCTTGCCCATTGAATATTGGGATAGGTTCCAGTGCCCCAGCCCCCATTCAGGAATAAGCGGTTCAGAAAATACATGGATGGATAATTTGGCCCAACCCACATCCCTCATATAGTAATGTTGATTCCTGATGGTTAGCAGCAACAGCCATGTTATTTACTAAGGTCTGTACCTGAAACCCTGTTCCTAGCCACCTGAAAACAACTGCCTTTGCGGAAACTTTTACTTTAACTTTACTTTATAGCCAGAAGCTATTTGTTGGGCCTCAGCTTAACTGCCTGTCATAGCTTAGGTTAACTTCTCATTTAAACAATTTGTTCCCTTTCTTAATTTCCTCCACCCATCTGTGGGAACCACACCACTTTTAGTCCACTGTTCAAATCAACAATTTCCAGCTTACACACAGTTGATTATTATTAAAAACATATTTTGGATATTCACAAGGTAAGACAACAAAATAAAACTTAATTTCTAACTCAGAGAGACTTTTGCTGGTGCTGGTCACAGAATATTAAAAATTCAGGATAATGATACAAGTATGTTGTTAAAAACGTTTGCTATTCCACCCCTAAAGGCAGTTTAGACTGGGGTAATGCTTGTCATCCAGGACAGGCGGATTCCACAGTAATCTTAAACCTCACGGTTGCAAGCTGGCAAAAACATGCACGTTGGGAAAAAAACAGAACTGTCTTCAGTGTACACTCATCAGGTCTGATGGTAAATCATGAATCACACCATGGCACCTTTTCAAACACAAGGTATCGAACCAAAATATCTAAGAACTCAGTCTCTCACACTTCACGTCGGCCCTCAAATCACATGCACGTTGGCAGACTTAGTTAAAAAGAATGAAAACAACTGAGTTTCTTGTGTTACATCCATCCATCAATTTTCTGTCGCCCTTATTCCTTTTTTTTTTTTTTTACCTCAACCACTGTCATTTTATTATATAGCCCTGATTAAGTTTATCATGTGTAAAATAGCTTGGACCTGTCCATAAAAGTGACAATGAAACATTAACTGTATATTAAAGCATTTAGAAAGAAAGTTACTTTAGGGCATCAGTGATCAAGACAAAACTTGATCTTCTTCGCTTCCATTTGACTATCAGGTATGTTGTATTGTTCTTAGCAGTATTACCTTTTTGGCTTTTCATAAGAGACAATATTAGACAATATTAATAGTTGTATTAGACTTGCTCATCAGTGTGTTGTCAATAGCGTTTAACCTAAAGCTTGCCAGCCCATAACAGGGCCACACAGAGACAAACAACCATACACAATCATATGCACTCCTTGGGACAATGTAGTGTTCAACCTAACGTGCATGTTTCATGGATGGTGGAAGGAAACTTGAGTAATTGGGAGAAACCTACCCAGAACAAGCAAACTCCAAAAAGATATGCCCCCAGTCCCATGGGATATGAACCTAGACCCCTCTTCCTATCAGGCAATGTTGCTAACCACCACACAACCATGCTTTCCACCTTCATTGGTCAGAAATTTTTTAAGCAACTATTGGAATCTATGCATTTGAGGGAAGTCGCTTTAGATAAAAGCATCTGCTAAATACATCAACATAAGAATAACATTAACATGCATGGGAATCCAAGAAATCATGTAATGATGTATCGTAACATCAATTTTTAAAATTTGTAATACTATGTTTTTCAATTTTTTTCATGCCATTACGCAACATAAAACATATCAATCACCTGCACAAACGTGACGTCAACAGCTGCATAAATATGACATACATAAGGGCCAAGCATTACAGTTGTTTGCATCAGCCACGTGTCCACAAATGATATCCTGCTAACTGATTCAAGCAAGTTCACGTTACTCAATCATTCAATGCACATGGGTGGGTTCAACAACTTTGGTGCATTGCTCGGACATAAGAAGGGAAGGAAAAAGTAACAAAGAAAAAAGAACTTCAAACACTGGTTGTTTCTATTTTTTATTGATAATACTACCATGTGGTCGTGTAAACTGCATGACATGCTGTGTGTTTAGACTTCATTCAAAATTCTGAGGCCTCTGTGACTGTTTTCATAGTCCAGACACTGGACTCTTCTAAACATTGCTTCAAAACCTTACCTCGTGCAACTAGTTAGGTGACATATCTTAATTTGCCCCAATGCTCTCTACCAGACAGTTTTCTTCCTCCACCTTTTCGGTCCTCAGTTTGTGTCATAAAAATTCCTCCTGTGCTCCTTAACACGGTCATGTTTTAAATGATTTATCTGTGCCATTAACAAGGAATTGATTTCCTGAGTTAATCTTTTAAATCTTTTACTTACTGATCTCTTCTTCTATCTCTTCTTCTCTCTGTACATAATAAATCTTTTAGTAGGAAGATTTACATTTTTTTGTGTTTGTGGCAGTGACACAGGGAAAGTTTGTGGGTCAAACTCCACAGTCTTTAAACTCCTTGGGTGAAGAAGAGACCATCCTGCCCTGTCAATACCAGCCAAATGGCAGCGATGTGGTGGTGCAGGTCACCTGGTTCAAGGAAAAATCTGATAATACCAAGGATCAAATCATCATTGCAAACAGGGAAAATGAACAGACAGGTAGGTTGACTGGTATTGTGACCTACAGTTTATTATTCACTTCTGCTCTTTTATCTTGTATTTTTTAAAAAGATTATATCAAATGACGTCAGTACAAGACATTTTTTCTTTGTCAATTATCTGTTATGGTCTGCAGAAGTGCTGGATTCACTTGTGGGGACTCAGGAGGAACAAAACAGAATCTCATAAAGATAAAAGTTCCTATATTTGAGAAAATCACTGCTAAACAGCAGGGTACAAATTCAAACAAAGATTCTGTGGAAAAAGTAACTAAAGGTCACTCTTTATACACATGAAAAAAGTACAACGAAAACAGGAAAAAGTATTGACATAAAGGACCTGTAAGAAAACACAGGAAAAAGTATAAACCTAAAATACAGCCAGCTGACAAAACTGGTAAATACTGTTCTGATAACTGTTGTGCAGGCCTCAAGGGAAAAAGCACTTAGAGAGTATGGAGATCTGCAAAAATAAAAAAACACAAATTCTAAGACAGAAATGGTTTGAAAAGAAACACATCAATGGATTCCTAGAAAAGCCAGCTTGAACCAAATGGAATGGATTTACTAAGCATAGACACAAACTCAGGGAAACATGTGAGCAGCTCATAACCAGCGGAACAAGAAAATAAGGAAATCATCTGGCACTGGGCAGGTCAACCTGGCAATGTTAAATACAAAGTTCTTGAACTGGCCGCAGGTGTGAGCCAATGGCCACACATGCCATTAGGTGCAAAATGTTTTTTTTTTTTTGCTGCATAGATCTCCGAGACCAGCTACTTAATAGCTGGGACTTTAGGCAGCGAGATGAGCTGAGGGTTGGATTGAATAAGGTCCAAAATCTCATCAAAGACCTGGATCCTCATCACAGGGTCAGTCTCCTCCTCAATGGTTTGGTGCCAGTCTTTTAAGATGTCCTGAAGAGCCCGCAAATCGTCCAAGGAGGGTTGTCCATAAGGCACAGGCACAACCTTCACAAGTGCTGTCTGGGGGCTTTGTTTCCTCACTTGAAAAGGTTTAAAAGCTTGATGAGACAACTGTGAATGGCAATTTTTACCTAGGGACACTTTAAGTCTTTGAGGAACTGAATTGCTGGAATTGAATAACTTCAAGCAAGTTTATATTTGTTCTTTTTTTATTGTAGTCATTTTTTAAGTGAGAGGTGTTAAACTGTTGGCTAAGAATGTATTTTATGCTATGTATAGCATGGGATTAAGAGTGACAAATGAAACCCTGCAGTCTTTTTTTTTTTAGTTCCCTGGACTTTTATTATTATTTTGGATTTACTTTTTTACCCACATGCTTGTCGTACTCTCACCCTTGTGGCTGCCTCTGTCTAATTTGCTCTACCCTTCTCTGTATGCAGCATTTGGGACATGGGTGCAACATGTACGCTTCAAAAGCAATGAACCCACTGTGGATTCATCTCTGGTCATCATGAACACTCAAGTCTCTAATGAGGGGAAGTACATCTGCCACATCAGTACCTTCCCATATGGCAACTTTGAGAGAAAAATGTCACTTATTGTGTGGAGTAAGTCGCTACCCCTCAGCTGTAAAGTATGAGGAGGTTAACATAGCATAAGCAACATGTTTAAGTAAAGAAGAATGAAATATGAACATTCAAAAATATTGCAACTGACATGCTAATATGACATTGAAACTGCAAAGACATTTTAAAACATAATGAATGATGTAGCAACAACTAAATGTTTTCTTTCTCTCTCCTCACCTTGTCGCTTAGATTTTTTTTTTTAATTACAAACTTGAGCTCTCCTTTTGAGATAACGATAACAAAAAATCTGCCAATGATCCTGTAGGATCTCCAAGAAAAAATTATGTCTGACTTCTGTATTTTATGCCACCCCTGCTAAGCCCCTGATCATGGCATCTTTATAACCCTAAGTAGTCCATACGAACTTTTCCTCATCTGCTACTGCTGTTTCTAATTTATTTGATGGTAGCAGAAATAAAGGGATTAAAATCTGGGAAAGTTTTCCAGTGGATGCAAAATTACTGCAAATGTTGGCTGATTCATGAACAAGTTAGTTATTTTTTGGGGAATTAAATACCTTAAAATAGTATCATATAGCTTAAATACCGTAACGGTAGACAGAAATATAAGACTCTATGATGATTTAAAAAAACTTTAGGGAAAAAAATCCAAAACATCGTATAAATTGTGCTGTAAATTTTTGTTAAATATGGAACAAATCACTCTTAGTAAAAAGCACCTTTTCACATCTTTTAAGTCTCTAAATGTATTGAATTGTTGAATATATAGAGAATTATCATTGTCTTCTATACTCTAATCACATTCTGTTACTTTTCCCCTTTCAGCCAAGCCTATTACCTCCTTGGATCCTGTGGTTGTAGTGGAGGGACAGTCGTATCAGCAGGTTGCATCCTGTCGCTCTGTGGCCCGACCACCGCCCCTCCTCTCTTGGGACACAGAACTAGATGGCCATTCCGTCAACCGATCCTCAGAAAGTGGTGCAGTCTCCACACTCTACTCCCTGCAGCCACTGAGGAGTATGAATGGCAAGAAGCTTGACTGTCTAGTCCGGCATCCGGCTTTAGGTGCCCCGCAGAGGCTTCGAAACAACCTAGTGGTACACTGTGAGTGTTCCTAAAATTACAGCAAGGGGGTGTGAAAACAAGAAAAATAGGATGATTGGAGCTGTGTTCTGTCATTAACATGAATTCATTTAAACAAAGTTGGCAAATCACCGTTCATCTTTACAGTTCCTCCACATGCAGAGGTGTCTGGGTACAATGGAGACTGGTATGTTGGTCTGGAAAATGCTGCCCTGAGGTGTATGAGTGAAGGAAATCCAAAACCCCACAGTGTCACTTGGATCAGGTACAAAAGCACCACTGCCTCTTTGACTGTCTGACCGATGCTCAGATGCCTGTCTGAAGTGTTTGGTTGCAATTCATTTTTTTTGAACTTTCACTTTAATGAAACCAATAATTTTTTTCCCAGTTAGTCATTGAGTTTAAATCTGATTTATTTTATTGAATTCGCTCCCTGGTCAGCCATCTGTGAATAACCAGATTGGAAATACACGTAATATTTTACAGTTTAACATATAAAATATTAGGAATTGCTCTATTTAATTCTTTATTTTCTTTTTAATAATAGTGACAGCAACATTAATTGGTCATCTCAAAAAGCAAACAATGAAAAAAAGGCAATCTAATTTCTTGCTCCTCTTCAAGTGTCTGTAGTCAATAAGATACATGTATTTAATATTTGCTATGTGGACCCAATAAATCCCACATTACAGCACCCACTTTTTATTTCAGAATCAAACCTAGGTTAAAAACCTTTTGACAGCATAACAGGGAATAAAGACACCCTTTCCGCTTGACTTAATCAAACAAGTCCTGACACTGTCACCTCCGAATCCTGCTGCCTGATAGGAAACTGACAGATTTGAATATTGCTCGTGTCATAGAAGGTGCAGCACACTCCTCCCCTTCTTTAAACTCATACGGGGATTTGACTCACATGGCTGACTTGTCATTTAAAGCAATTTTCTTTGGTGAATTAAATATTCTCTGGGTGTGGTGCCATAAGAAAAACGTTTGTCATGAAACAAGACCTTGAAGCAGTGATGGCTCCCATCAAATTATGAGACGTGACAGTGGACATCCAGGGGAGTTTTGGCTGATAGAGTTTTAAAAATCTATCAGTTGTTTTAGCATGATGAGAAAGTGCACATTACTTGTCATTAGTCACACACCTTGGGAAAGAAGTCATTTTGAGTTATGCTTACCAGGCCCATGCTACCTACACACAGGAAGTCCACATCTCTACCACCAACCTCTTCTGACTCACACATGAACAAATAACCAAGCTAAAGTGGAACAGCGAGCAGGCAAACCTGTTGTCATGAAGGCAGCAGGTGAAGTAATGCTAATGTCACAGTGTCATGTTGCGGCCTGTGCCGAAAGCAGACAGGCGAGACAGTTTCACACGAAGGAGGGAGTACGGGGGAGAGAAAATTAAAGAGATGAGAAGTATACAGAAAGGTAAGCAATGGAAGTAGGCAGCCAAACAGAGGAGGTGGCTGAAGATAAAAGAGGGAAGAGAAAGCATGTAGAATTGTGGGAGGTTTTCTCGTGAATTGTAAAAAGTGAATGTTCCTCCTTTTCACATATAAGAATTGGCAGCAACAAGAGTGCACTGTGGGAATTGTAATGCTTTTGGTGTTATGGGTTGTTCACTGGCAAACATTAGTTGTTAAACTGTTTTCAGTTCAATTTATCACATGGCAAATTAGATATTTCTCTCAACCGCTGTGGAAATCCTGAGTCACCTGATTTATCTATTGAAAATATTTAACAGAATTCTATTAAGGAAACTATGAGGAAAGACTGTAACATATAGAAAAAGGAAACAAAGAAAACACCACTGAATTGTTTTTAATATCAAAATATCTATTGACAGATATGCAAAATGGAGTCTCCTCATAATGCACCCAGAAGCCAGTTGAATCACTGAAATTATAAACCACGCTGTACATCAAGACTTGGCACCACAGAGGGTAGTTTAAAAGTATGTTTCTATTTGTATAAAAGGCTGACGTTGATTTTATTTACATTTTTAAAGCATGATTAGAATTTTGATCAGCCTTTAAAGGACGATGGGAGGGAAAACATATTTATTGACTTTATTACACACATAAAACAATAAGGCATTAGCATATAACTGCTGACACTGTACTGGTCAGTTATGATAAAGTAACCTTTCTTGTGTTCAGTTCACTTAGTATGATTAGCTTGTTTTTGTTATAAACAGCTAAGATTAGCACCACATCCCTTTTCATCAAGGACTATTAATCTTCTTTATCCATGTCTTTAGTCTATTTTCTTCCCTGCTTCTTTAATTATTGCTAATTGCTACTTCATCTGCAGTGGATTTTAGGTAGGTGAGACATTACGGTAGCCCACATCCCAACCAATGGTGTAAAGTTGTATTGCAGTATGATATTTGAAAGAATCTCATGGGGATTTTATCCTGGGTTTTCCTTTTTCTTACCCAGATTCCTTTTTTTTTATGTAAACAACACATCCAAACCTAATTTAAACAACGCAAAATGAAGCACGGGAAGTGTTACACTGACATATCCAATGAATGAGTTTGTTTGACGTCTATCTTTCACCAAAGGTCATCTTGCTTCAGTCTTCTCAAAATTGTAAACCTTCTTTTTTGGGTGACGAAACCTCTGGAAAGGATTAGATGATGAAGAAAATTGTTTCTATCTCCCTTCTCTCAATTGTGAAATGCCACTTTGACCAAATCTTTGAGAGGCAGCAATACTATCTGTTTATTTGAAGACGCTGACAAACTTTAAGAAAAAAGTACAATTGAAATACTGTTTAAAATCTTTTAAGGGTATTTTGTCAGCTTTGTCGTGTAACTTTGCGCATTTGTTGTTTTGCTTAAAGAATCGGTGAAAAGTTGCCAGAATGTGCCGTCTCCCATCCTAATGGGACTCTTGTTTTTGGGAAGCCTCTCAACCTATCAGATGAAGGCATCTACCAGTGTACAGCAGTGAATGAAGTGGGAAAAGCAAAGGCTGAGGTGCAGATACGTTTGAGAGGTATAGTAGGTATATGTTCTTTTACTGAGTCGTTTGTAATGTCAACGGAAACTTTGTATTGACTATAAAACACAGTAATTTTACGTTGTACATTAAAAGTGCAGAACCTGCCTTCTGTGGCTGACTCAAAGCCTCTCACATAAAAAAGAACAAATTACTGTACGTAGTGTCAAAAGCATTGTTGAAATTTCTTATAATAGAAGGACTAAGTTCTTCTTTAGGGGTATTTGACTATTGGATGGCCTTGAAGAATCTGTTGAACCATTTATAATCAATCATTTTATTAGAAAAGCACCTGACATTGGTAGAAGTAAACCATAGTGCATTGTACCTTGGAGCCAGAGTCACAATTCTAATTCTATCCACCGCCAGCTGGTGCAAATTTCTGCGGCTCATCATTGTGTTTTTCTTTCGTCTTTTCATTATTGAGAATGCCTGATAAGAATTTAACTCTATTTTATGGTGTCTAAACCTACAAATAGTTGCTTTTTGATACACCTAAAAAGCTGGACATCAGAAATAGTTTGCAACATGCTTATGTGGAAGAATAGCATTTGAATGTTCATCTTAGGGGTAAGTTATAAAGTAACTTGGCTTTTTGAGTGAAAGTTATCATGTATTGATGTATTATGATAGATAGAAACCGGTATAGGTAGGTAATTCCATTTTGGGGGGAAATGGAACAGTGTACATAATAATAATTGATTGTTCTCACTGAAAAAAAGCAACCTCGCATTTTTCTTGCCTATTTACGGGACATTAATATGAATATGTGCTGCATTCAGTTTGTGTCTGAAATATAAAAGCAGCTCTAATCTTATTAACTGAAGATCCTCTATGCAGGTGAACACTATAGTGAGTGAGTATCGGAAAGGCAAAACAAAATGTCACATAGGACTGTAAACAGTAAGAATGTATCAGTATATATTTCTAACCCTGATGATTTAATCTTAACAGAAAGCCCTAAGAAGGAGAAAGAGTCTGAAAATATGTTGACAATCATTGTGGGAGGAGCGGCTGCTGGGCTTCTGATCATGATGTTTATCGTTATCATTACACTCACTTGTCACCACAAACGCAAGAGCAAGAAGCTGAAGAGGGAACTGACTGAGAAGAAGTAAGAGACGGCCTGTTTTTAAAGATAATTTTAGATAAAACGGAACTTCGGGGTTCTCTACAGGGCCTGTTGAGTGTGAAGAAATGAATAAAGCAATTTAGGACTATATGTTAGAACAGATTTTTGAGAAATATGCAAACTGAAAAACTTTCAGACTCATTATATGGAAATCAGATGGAAAGTAAATCTAGTTATTTTCTTGCCCATCTCATTGTCACAGGAATGAAATAAGCACTCTCTCCAGGCAAGCTTCTTTCAGGAGGATGAACTCTGTCAGCACTGATACAAGAGGAATGGTACTATCACTTGATTATCTGCAAAATCAATTAACATTTCTTCAGCAGCACCCGACATTATGAGAGTTTAACATTGTACTGTCATTCATCTGAAAAGTATTTGATCTTATTTTTCCTCTGTGTTTCCCTTATTTGTAGACAGAAGAGAGCATCCCTTTGAGAGTGGAGGGAATGATGAGGACAAGCCTTTCATCCCTCGGGGTTAGGCTTCATATCTATCTAAATCTGCATTCACTGCCAGGGCCTGGGACTAAGCTTAACTCTCAACATATCAGTTGGCTAAACTCTTAGCTTCAGTGGTTGAAATGTAAAAGTAGTGTCACTGTAAGAGATCTTTGTTACATTTTTAGGCTTTTTTTTCTCTGCACGTTTATCTTTAAGTCCTCTTGCAGTTCTTTGAGCATTATATTCTCCATATCAGCTCTGAATGGGGCTGAAACTAATAGTTGGACATTTTCAGTTGGATGCCCGATGCTACCCTTACTTACTACATGTCAACATAATGTGTAACTCGAGCATAAGAACAGTTTAGAATTGAAAAGGGGAGTTAACTTGCCTGGCTTTTTTTTTTATAAAGCAGTTAAATCATTTGGGTTACAAATGAAAAAAGCAGTCAAAAAGAAAAAAAAAGTATTGTTGCTTAAATTTGAGCTATTTACAAAACTTAATAGTATCTTTTTCAATAACTAACCAATTTAACTAACCAGTTTGTTTTTAAAAATAATGTTTTTGAACTTTTTATTGCCTATTGGTACTACTAAGACAAAAATAAAATCTCCTCAAAATCTCTTCTAAGGGTTCCTAATCTAAACAGTCTTTTCTTTTATATTGTTTGTTAACTTTATGCCCACCTGACAGTTTTGCACATATCTGTCATACATTTTAGTTTGTCTACAGATGTTTTTTTGTTTTACTGAGATGCAATAGAAATTACAATAATATATTTTGAATCTTTCAACAGGATAAAAAGTGTAACTTTTATTCTAATTGCATAAAGCAGATATTACCAAGATCCTCTCCTAGTTAAATCAGGCGTCCAGACTAACAGATATATTTGTATGTTTTCTGCTCATTCTGAAAACAAAAGTGAAAATAAAATAAGGAAAAACTGCTAATGAGGATATATCAGGACATATTAATCTTAGTCTATTTTTCTTTGCTTGCAGGAACATCCTCGCTGTCGTGACAGCAGATCTACTATATCAGGTGGGAGGGGACTCGGGGGTCCATATGACTCCCTGGGCAGGCCAGTCCTGCACAACAACTCCAGGAGGGGAAGAGATAGGCTTCTGGACAGAGAAGAGGAGAACCGGCTCAGAGTGGAAACATATGTGAGAAACAGTACAATGTCGTTGGTAAGTGTGTCATGTTGCACTCATGATTTTGGGCATGTCCAAGCTTGATTTCACCCAACTGTAGAATTCCTCTCACCTAGTTTACTAACCTTTTCTTACTTACCTGATGGAAATAATGCAATGAGTAAGTGTTTTCTGCTCTGTCCTTTGCAGCAAGAATGTCGTTTACACCCTCCTCTCATGCAATCGACCTTCCCTACTATTCAGTCAACAGGGATTTTAAGACAATTGAATGGCACTATCATTATACCAGCAGATGGGAGTTCACGACAAGGAAGTATCACTAAGGATTACCTTAACCCTGCTATGAGCTGCAGTTACCCTCCAGTAACATATGATGAGGATGAAGTTGATGAAGGGTTGGGCGGTCCTGCTAGTCAAGAGCATGCTGACGATCAAGACAGCGAAACCAACAGCTCTCGTGTGTCTGACAGTCGCACACAAAGGCCCAGTCTAAGGACAAGTCCCCTTTTAGACAGTCCTCACAATTCATTCATCCACAAGGCCCAGATTGTATAGCAGGAAAACAACCAATATAGACAATATGGACCTGGTAAAATCTGGTTTTGTTTTAGGGAGGTTTAAAAAAAATTTTGCAGTCAGTTCACACTTCAAGGACACTTTTCCTGTAATGACACTTAGCTTGTTTCCTGACAAAATACTGTTTGCGACCTAGTTTGGTCCTCTCCTGAAATATGCACACCTCCCTATTACTTTCCTCATAAAAAAGCAGATCAAGATAAATCTGTCCTTCACGTGTAATGATAAATCTGTACAAATGTGCATATGAAATCTTTGTAAATGTAAGATTCTTTCAAATTGTTTAATAATACAATCCAAAGATATGTATATACCTACATTTAAACACATACCTGATAAACACAAATACCTGATGAACATCCCCCTAAATATATTGAGGTTTTTCTGAACTTAGTACAGTATTGTGGTAAGCACTGTCGCCTCACAGCAAGATTTGGGTACCAGGTCTCGGTTTGAGTCCCCGGAGGACCAGTATCTGTCTGTGCGGAGTTTACATTGTCTCCCTGTGTCTCTGTGGTTTTCTCCAAGTAGCTCCAGGAGCTTCCTCCCACTGTCTAAAAACATACATTTTAGGTTAATTGAACACACCAAATTGCCCAAAGGTGTGACTGTGATTATGCGTACGGTTGTTTGTCTTTGTGTGGACAGGTCATCAGTCCATTGTTGCTTGCAATGGACTGACGACCTGTCCAGGGTGTACCACGCCTCTCACCCACTGTCAGCTGGGGTAGCCTCCAGCCCCCCCGTGACCCCATACATAAAAAACTGGATGGATGTACTGAGTAGCTTATCTCAATGCAGTTGGAAATTGAAGAAACATTATAATACATTTATCCACAGGTTACCACATTACATGATGTGGTTGTTTTTATTAATACATCTGGACTATTATACCAGAGACAACTGGTCTGTAATCTTTCACAACTGTGGATATATTGTATCTATACATAAAACCGTTTTCAGAATCAGTATAAGAATGAGGACTTTCCAAGTGTGACAAGAATGTGACATTAAAAATGTTTTAAAGCTTTGGGCAAAACTGAGCACACACCGTTTAATTATGTAACATTATTATTTTTATTTAACTTTTTCTAAGGCTTTCTTATTTTTTGTGGGTTGTGTTACGGCCCTGTTAGGGAAAACATGTGCCAAAGGTTTTTTTAATGGGCCAAAGATGAAGTAGTATTTTGTTCTCTATCCATGCATGACACTGTACGGGTATTAATTTATCTTACCTGTCTACAATAAAAGTTAAATATCACTGGAATTCTAAATATTCACGGGGATGCATGCACCGAACATTTGTAACAAATTCAACCTAATATCATCCGGCACTTAGGATTAAAGAGTCAGTTAAATGCTTGGTTATAATTGTTGCAACAAGTCCCTCTGGTGTGTATAGATGAGAACTGCAGTGAGCTGGACAAGCCAACATTATTCTGGTGACTAATCTATGAAAGCCATTGTAAATTTCAGTTTGATGATAAAGATATTACAGGGTTTGTTCCTGGAATTTTTTTTTAAGGGGAAGGAGGGCTTCATTTTTACATTTGTGGGCATAAATAAATGTGCATGCTCTTTTATGTCAAGGTCAAAAAGTGGATTGCCCTGTAAATCAAATTTCTTTTTTTTTTTTCTGACATTGTAAAGCAATACCAAACACATGTAAAATATCAAATAAACAACATTTCTATGTTTTAATTGGTCAAAGTAGTTACTCACCATCTGCCTACACTCTATCAGGATGCCACCTACAAAAGAAGTACGGAGCACATTTCTTAACTTCTTCTAACTTCATGCTATCTCCTCACAATCCAGATTTTTTACCAAATCAAATTGAAATTGGATTGCATCTTTCAATGAGTAGTAACTTTTGGGGAAAAAATCTTAACATATTTAAAAGGATTCAGGGTCTGATTAAAATATAGATAATTTCAAAGGTAATTAACACTTTTAACAACTTTTGGCTCAGTCAAGATTCTCTTTATTTTAATTTTCGTTGTTTCTTTTTTTCAACCAATTCAATAATTTCAAGAAAGTTGTCAAGCTAAATATTTCATCAGTGATATCAAATTAAGTCCTTCAATTTTTCTAAACTAAACGTCTTAAGGTTGCCTTTAATGTCTCTTAACTAAGTTGAACCACTCTTTCTGTGACTTCAAAGGCCTGCATTCTTGTGGTTCTCTAATCTGTGTGCCATAAAACAAAGTATATTGTAAGGAGAATCTCAGATACAAGCCAGCAGTAGCTGGGCTTTTGTTTATTTACGTTTATTTTTCACTGCAGCATGAATTAAACAAGAATAAGAATGAGCTCAAATGAAAATACCTTTAAAAGAAAACTAAACTCCATCAGTGAAGAAAAATGTCACTACACGTAAATAGCTGTCCCTACCAGAGCAGTTGTGCCATCTGATCTGCATTTCTGAGTACTCTACAACCTCAAAGCAGAAAAGTTCTGCTGTGCAAACACAACCAAATCAAGAGGCCCTCACAGGTATGTTTTGTTAAGGGTTCTGTCCAGTCCACATGACTTTTGGAAAATAGTCTGCACTCAGGCAGAGGCTATTTAATAGAAGAAATATTGGGACTGAATTAGAAATGTGAACATTGCAAACTTTCTCTTTTCATCCTAAAATGCTCCATGCAGTGCTCACTGTGGATCAATGTTCAGAGAATCAAATTACTTACGGCGCTGCGTTGAGCAGCAGCCGGGAACAGGCTCTTTCTCTTTCTTTATATATATATATATATATATATATATATATATATATATGTATGTAATTTATTATTATTTTTTATTTTTTATTTTTTTCATGTCTTTTGTCCATGTGGCTCATCCTTTGGACAATTTTTCCAAAATACAATGCTTTCTGGGCTCAACATTTGGCTTGACTATTGTTTATATACTCAGAATCAGCTGGTGTCACCATGAGCAACTGAACTGATACCTGAAATTGCCAGAAGGATGAGGAGGAAGTACCGGGGGTGTTAGGCTGGACTTAAACACTAGGAGAAGAAGCAGAAATAAAAATCTTAGCTCCCTTCTGTCGTCACGGGGAGTGTGAGGTTGCCAGTTAATAAGATGGAGAGTTGATTGATGGGCCTGGTGAGGACTCATGATGTGTTTCACTGAGATGTGGCACCCACAGTGTTGTCACGAAACTCTAGTCTTATGCATTCATTGCCATGTCTTGGGACTTCAGTCATATCACTCTGGCTGCAGCACTGCCTAACTTCAAGCAGATTGTGGTCCTTCCGCCAGTGAAAACAAGACACCAGACATGCTGTGTGCCAATGAGGCTTACAGCTCCACGGCCCTTCTTCAGACCGCAATCTCATTCACCTTCAGCCTCTGCATAAGCCTCTAATCCAACGGCTTCTGGTGACAACTAGGACTGTGAGGAGATGGTCACAGGAGAATGACGTCGCTTTGCAGGGCTTCTTTGAACTAACAGACTCGGAGATTGCAGTGTGATTATCATGGGGTGAGAATCTTGATGGGAACATAACAGACTACATTACAGGGTACATCAACTTCTGTGTCGGCAGTGTTGTTCCCACAGCGACTGTATGTATTTTTTTGAGGTCTGAGACCAACATCTGCATCTTAGTACCACCAAGACAAAGGAACTGGTGGAGGATTTCAGCATGGGAAAATCTGCCCCAACACCCATTTATATAAAAGGTGACACTGTGGATGTGTCCCATCATTACAAATACCTTCAATTACACCTGGACAACGCACTAGACTTGGCCAAGAACACTGGGGCTGTTTACAAGAAGAGTCAAAGCCTACTTCCTATATTTCCTGTAGAGGCTCCGGTCATTCAACATATGTAATAATCTCTGAGGATGTTATACCAGTCAGTGGTAGCCAGGGTTATCTTCTTTTGTGTGGGGTGCTGCTGGGGCAGCAGGAAGAGGGGCAGCAGATGCCAACAAGAAGGCAGGAAGGCTGGCTCTGTCCTGGGGGTATAGCTGGACTCTTTGTTGGTGGATGCTGCGTAAACTGCAGAGTATTATGGACAATAACACCCTACACCAGGTGCTAACCTCATACAGAAGCACATTGAGCAACAAACTAATTTCCCCCAGTGTAGGACAGAATCCCACAGGAAGTCTTTCTGCTTGTGGCAGTCAGACTGTTTAATGCATCTAGTTCAGGTTGTGAGAGGGACAGTCAAAACATTGCATCCTGAGGCCAAAATATCACTTCAGCCAATGTCAGTTATCCAAATAACTTGTTTGTAAAAATTGTTTTACATTGAGTATGCTCAAATTGCACATCGCACATGTTGAATCAGGAAAACAGGCATGTTACTCCAGTTACTCCTGGTTAGTTCAGGCTGCAAAATTGAAAGAAATTCCATTCCTCCATCCATTTTTTATAATACTTATTCCCAACGGAGTCACCAGGGGCTGGAGCTTATCCCAGCTGACAATAGGCGAGAGGCTGGGTACAGCCTGGAAATTAATTACAGGGCCACATAAAAACAAACAACCCCACAAAATTCCATATGCAGTATTTTTTCGTGCATATACATGCAGTTTACATGCATATTTCATTATGATGTCAGATAACCGACTGTGACATTGTCAACTATTCCTGTAAAAGTTTACAATTGGTTGATTTAATTCCCAAAAACATTACATTGATTTTAAATGAAGGAAACAAAAATAATGAAACACCGGTCAAACAATATTTTCATTTAGATAAAAACAGGCCAAAACACAAAATCACAGGAGATTGATTGCCTTTTATTACAATTAAGTTCACAACACATGAATGCACACACAATACATCAATTTTGTATTGTGACTGCAACCAAAAAGCTTATATTGAGGGTCTAGCTGTTTCACAACACAGCTCTTGTCTCTGTAAGATATGTGATTAATCAATTGATAATATTAGGTATACATGTAGATACAATATACAACAGTAGCATAACGTTTCCCTATTATGCCAATTACAAAAACCAAGTTCTGTTATTCAAGTAAGCTTGTACTGCATCAGAAGAACAGAATTGGTTGTATTATGTTTTTCTTATTGTGCACAGAGTTCTTCAAAGTTGTTCAAGGTTATCTACCTCCAGTACCTACAGACCTAATATACATAGTGGCTGAAAGAACAAAACAGTTTTTTTTAATACTATTTTTGTTGTATCGAGTTTTCTACTTTAAACAAACAAACAAATAAATAAATAAACAAATAAATAAATACTGTTCTTTGTTCGTCCAGCTCGGAAGTGTGTAATGAATGATGTCATGCAGAACGAGGAAACAGATTTCGACAGCTAAGATGGCGGAGGAGCAGCAGGAATCATCACAGAAAGAGATGGAGGGTGAGAGAATCTGTGGAATCACGACATATCCAACGTGCAATCTGCTTATTTTTATTGCATTAATACAGATTACTTATAGTAGTACCCGCAGACTGTTTCGCCATTGCCCTCACTGCGTTTGAAGTTGCTGACATGCTGCAATTGCTTAGTTTGAGGCCAGATCTTCTAAGCTAACGTTAGCTAGCCACCATTGCTACACAAAGAGAGATAAAAAAACAACAATTGTTTTGGTGTTCATAGAGAGACAGTATGTAACAACAAGCATCGGTGTTTGTTCAGATTACACCTTAAAAATTCAAATTGGGCATTAAAGAGGGTGTTTGGGGGTAAACGTTACGTTTTTAAACGTGTGTGGAATTTGTTTTGTTTTTAAGCTAGCAAAGTTTAGCAGACTGACGGCAGCCAGTGTTACAGATTAAGTCGTTAATTTATTACTATAATTTCATATGAGGCAAGGTTGCCAGTAGTACTGAGTGTTTCTGGATACATTAAAGGAAAATATATTGCTTTTAATCTTTATCAATATTTTTGATAATGCGTGCGTTCTCATTTGGTTCGTTCCAACGAGTACAATGATTTTTAAAATAAACCATTACAAAGGGTTATTGTTGAGAAATACTAACAATACAAAAAAGCTAAACGCATATATGTGCAAAGGAGGCATTTTCTGTTCTTTCCTTGGTCACGTGGGCTGTATAGTATTATCACAGTGAATTGTAAATTCAGAGTGCATTTTAGGCAACGCTGGTTACTATTGTGTAGTACTCTTTGCATCTTACCCACCCATGACACTGGAGATTATGTCAATTCTTAAATGAGAATGTTATCGGAACATTACTAAAACTGCAATGTTTAGGTTGTTAAATTATCACAGAATATTTTTGTAATTCCCTATTTACAAAAAAAAGAGAAACACTGAGTTATTCATTCATTGTATTGTCCAAGTTACACCATTTTCTATAAATGTGGCAGTTGAGTACTCTCAAGCTCTCCAAACCTTTCAACAGGAGTGAACTGCCTTGCGTATGATGAGGCCATTATTGCGCAACAGGACAGAATTCAGCAGGAGGTGAGATTTTCCTTTTTTAGCTGACCAGATCAAATGTAATTTTAATAGAGAACATAAACAAATGTGGCGTGCCTACATTGCAGCATCTTTAACATTTTTTCCAATAATTTCTTGCAGAGTAAAACATATAACTAATTTTGGAACTGTGATCTATGGAATTTTAAAAATTGTAGAGTATTATTGTGATGTGTACAGTGGAACAAGCATGGAACACAGCTCTTATAGTATGAATTATTTCTGTTGGCACCATAGATGTTTTAATTGTAATGTTCTGCAAATGTATGCCTGCAGATAGCCAACAGTAACCCCTTAGTGTCGGATAGACAGAACTTGTCAGTGCTGCAGAAAGAATATGCTGAGGATGACACGGTTTATCAGCTCAAGATCAAGGTCAGTCACCACTTACTCTCAGGTTACTGCATCCACGTGTTGTTTCAACTCAAAAGTCTTATCATTCTCTGAACTCCTTTTAATTTATTCTTTATTTTAGGACCTTCACAAAAAATACTCGTACATTCGTAAGACACGACCAGATGGAAACTGCTTCTACAGAGCCTTTGGATTTGCACATCTCGAGTCCCTGCTAGATGACAGCAAAGAACTTCAGAGGCAAGTGGTGTCAGATTGCCTGCTTTTGTTTCGTGGTGTGGGCCTCATGCCTTTTTTTCTTACTATACTCCCTCAGGGAGCAAAGAGCATGAGCATCCATTAGTCTCCTACATTTGGCAGACAGTTTTTTGCTGCGCCTCTGCTTAGGTGCTCTTTTTATGTCCGGTAATGTCACTGTGCCTTTACCTTTTACTATAATTAGGAGAAAAATTCTCCTTCAGTGGTTTCTTTGTAGTATATCTCACTTTTCCTTCCTTTTGATTAATACACACAACTATTTAATCTTTTATTTTAGATGTGTTTCTGCCATCAAATTAATAATGCCTCACTTTGAACATTTTATACATTTGCAATGATTTATTTTACGTTAATTGCTGGCTAGTTGAGTTACTGACCATTACAACTTTTAAGGAATTCACGTAGTATATGAACATTACTTGCATATGGTCATTTATCCTTTTTGGTTCTTTTTCACAAACCGATGTTACAATATAATATTCTGATTAGTGTGACACCCATAAGGTAATTAATTTCATGTTTTCAGGTTCAAAGCAGTTGCAGGCAAAAGTAAACTGGACCTGGTTAATGAAGGCTTCACTGAGTTTACCATTGAAGACTTTCACAATACAGTGAGTGTCCTGTACAAATTAGATTCAGATTATTATCTTTAATTACCCATTCAACAAATAATATAGGATTATCATAACTGTTCAGCCCTTTGTTCTTACAAGCTGTTTTGTATATGTTGTATAGTGTTTTAAACATTGTTAAATTTAACTTTAAATACTGATGGTGATATGTTGTATTCATGGTGCATTCAGCTGAGGAAACCATGATTGATTTTCACAGCAAGACTTAAATGTTAAAAAAAATGTCATTTCATCACAGTTCATGGACTTGATCGAACTTTGTGAGAAACAGCCTAGCCTGCAGGAGCTGCTGAGCTCTTTCAATGACCAGAATGTGTCGGACTATGTGGTTGTGTACCTGCGACTCCTCACTTCAGGCTACTTGCAGCGAGAACATACCTTCTTTCAGCATTTCATTGAAGGAGGACGTTCTGTTAAAGAATTCTGCCAGCAGGTGGGTAGTTTTTGAGAAATGTATCTGGATCAGGGCCCGTTGAGAAAAAGTCTGTTCCAATATATTACATGGACACTATTTTGGTAAATGTTCACTTTTTCTATTCCCAAGTCTGTTTGACTGCTTACAAAGCAAGAGACAGACGTTTTTTCACTTACTTTTGTAATGTTTGGTATAATAAAATCATACCTAATTTTAAAGGGAAAAATGCAAATATTCCAAATGATTTTTATCATGGTTATGATCAGAGGCACACAAGTAGATGAAAACCCACTGCTTACTATGTCAAAGTTTAGTTAGAATATTGATTTCAAGCTATTTAGATTTTCTAAATGCATCAAACGGTCACACCAACAAATAGCAATTTCACATCCAGTTGCCTAAACTGAACTTTTCAAGCTTGACCATGACCTGGATGACTGAGAATCTTCACAGATATTGTTGACTCTTTTATGAAGTAAGAAATTATTTCACCTTTTATTTTTTTCAAAGCATTGGAATTTTTATATTATTGCAGCCAAATAGCGTGGCAGTTGTGTCATTTTCAGGCAACTATACAGAAGAAAGGCACATTTATGTGCTATTAACCTTAAACAGGTCAAATTGACTAAAAGGAAACAGGAGGGTTCAAGGGCTAATTTATGTTAAATGGTGCGTAAAAATGTTATAGATTAAGCTAAAAACGTATAGCTTAAAAATAAATAAGGGCATTTTTTAATAGGGTTTCGGTAAATGCAGGGGTAAAATGCTTATATGTTGTTGTTATGAATACAAACTCATGTTTGTGTTGTTTCCCTTATCCTAGGAAGTCGAGCCAATGTCAAAAGAAAGTGACCACATTCACATCATCGCCTTAGCTCAGGCCCTGAACGTATCTATTCTCGTGGAGTACATGGACAGAGGAGAGGGAGGAACTGTCAATCACCACGTCTTCCCTGAAGGCGGTGACCCACGCATCTTCCTCCTGTATAGACCGGGCCATTATGACATCTTGTACAAATAACACTCCTGGCCTCTGTCCTCTTTATTTTCCTCCCGATATGCCAGTCAATTGTGGGTTCAAAAACAACCTCAGCAGCCACTTGATAAATAATACATCTTGTGTATGAGATTATACTCATTTATTTGGGAAAATAAATAAAATAAATTAAAAATTGCATTACTTTCCTCCTTTTACCCTTCTTGCTCCCAGTACCCCTAATTTACCCTCAGTTGTCACAAAAATAGTTACAAAAAACTTTGGAAAAATAGAAGTGACTCCAGTCATTTAGAGTTGTACAGGTTTTTTTCTTTTGTGGTTGTAAATGTTATCTACTTGCTTTGTTTGATTCTTTTCCTTTGTTACACTGCGTTTCATTGAGTTTTATTAAAGCAATTTACATCTTGAGTGATGTGTCATTCTATTTTTTACCTTTTGGATCTTTAAATGGCCTTGTGTTTTAATTGAAATATTAAAATGACCATGATGCTCGCAAATCTTTGCTCGAGTGACAGTAAACAATGAGGATCTAAAAATAATTTAGTATATGAAACTGAATCAGCCAACGCTGGATTGCTTAATATAACGTTACACCATGTTTCAAGATCTATAACGGCCTGTCTTGAGGATTCAATAATCTTCCTTGGCATCACGATACTGAGCTTGTGATGTTTCTACGATCCTTCGAAGTCACTATTTGATTAGGTGTCTGGCACTAACATTTAGTTTAACACAAGACATATTATTTATACTTTTATAAAGACTTGCCAAAATAGCAGCCTATTTCAATTCATTACAGTAAATTCGCCCAATTTTAATCACAACTGCATAATATAATCAAAGATAATCTACTAAAGAAGATGATTTCTCGTTACCTCGACAACTACAACAAGTGATATCCTGAAATGTGCTCAGAGTGAGAGGTCTTCTTTCAAGCTTAAGATAAAATAAGCAAAATGTCCCCGTTGACGAAGTCGTTGACTCTCTTAAGAGTATTTACTGCGTGTCATCGGCATCACTCGTCTCTTGCAAGTATGACTTAAGCCTGGAATAGTCTCTTTTAAGACAGTTTTATTTCTGGAACGATTACGTTACAGTAGCGCACGTGGCATGGCTACTGTTACAAACTTGCTAAGCTAACTAGCGGTTATAGTCGACGTTAAAGGTGAACGGAAATGTAAAAGACATTTAAAGTCATGCATTTACTTCTGCATATATAGTTTTTAATGTTTTAAATTCACTAAACATTAGTCAAAACAGACCCACCTCTGTTTTGCGGAGGGAAAGGTGTACAGCAAATACTGCAATACTTGCATTAATTGCGAATTATACAAATGTATTATTTTCAACAAACTTCTAATGTAATTATGGTACACCATAGTGGTATCTGTTTTTAAAATGAACTGTAGTGAACCATAATATTCTGAAACCCAAGGCTGTAAAATTAACTAACATGCATGCCGAGGTGGCCGGGATATGCAAACATTACAAATTCTGAGACACTTTTACATTACAAAATTACATAACATTTGTTTTCCTAAATGTTATTTTGTGTCGCTTTGTGTTACGGCCACCAAATTTGACCTCCACTCTTAGGCAATGCTGTGTCTGTGCCTGCCTGTGTGAGTGTTTGCACTACAGCTCCCAGGTATCCCTGCAGCAGGACCTAATCTCATCCACCCACTGGAGAATGTGGATTCAAACAGGCGTGAGCAGACGAAAACCCAGTCCTGTACCCAGTCCTGTGTCACTGTTAAATAATTTAACTTAGCAAATGTGCTGAGGCACTAGGTTTTTTCTTTTATGGTACAAGGAAATTTCTTTGGTTTTGAATATTTGCGCACCCCTTTAGATTTTCTGCCAGAGTTTGAGTGCTGTGTTGTTTTCTGTTCTTGTTTTGAACTTCAACCACTGCTGATTTAGTCTTTAATTGTCTCCCTTTTGCGTTCAATGACAAATCTTTTCTTTCGGTAAGAAAAAATTTACTGTTTAACGACGGGTATTTACTTTCCTTTTCCTCTTGCGAGCTGGTTGTAACACTGAAAAAGTGTCTGAATTTTTTAATACTGGTTTACACCTCCCGGCCATCGTACCAAACACTCCAGTAAACAAATTCAAATTTTTTTAAATGGTGGCTCTTCAGTACAGCAATGTATCACCGCTGCTTGTTGTCACTTTCAAGTGTTTGAAATTACATTAGTAAATTATCTTCATAATTGCTAAAATGACAATCCTTCCATTGTTTATACTGCTTATAAACAATACTGCTTACGCCCTAGACAGGTCGCCTGTCCATTGCGATTAGAATGGAATGGATTAGTCCATTCCATTAGAATGTCCTTATTTAGAGTAAAACTGTCTACTAATGATTCTGGAAAATGTTGGTGTATTTATTGTGTGGTAGTATGGCATCACCGTGTTGGCAGTAAGGCAAGCTGTTCCACTCCTACTGCTAATACTCATATTCACTCTGTCTTGTTGTTTATGTCCAGATGAGCTGATTGAAAACATGGACAAGAAATCTACCTGGGACCGTTTCTACGCTGAGAGCAGCAGCAGGACGCCCACCTTTAAAAACTTTGAATGGTTCTTTGGTTTTCATTCTGTGAAAGACGTAATTATGCCCCTATTGGAGACAGCGTCCCATCCGAACACTTTGCTCCAAGTTTTGGATATGGGCTGTGGCACATCTGCATTAGGCCCCTCCATTTACAAAAACTCGGCTGTCCCAGTTCATGTCACTTGTGCTGACATTTCTCCCATAGCTGTACAACTAATGCAGGAACATATTCGACTACAACTCATTCAGCCTCACAATCTTTCTTCACAGCTTCAGTTTCTAGAGCTTGACTGTACACAGCTGGACAAACACTATGGTTCAAACACCCTGGGCCTAATTGTTGACAAGGGCACCACAGATGCCTTGTTGAGGTCGAAGGAGGGGAAGGGGAAGGCTGCTCTGGTGCTGAAGCAGTGTTTACGGGCATTGCAGAGTTCGGGATCCTTACTCCAGTTCTCAGATGAAGATCCTGATGCCAGGCTTCTTTGGCTGGAGACAGAGGTACAGGAGCAGGGAGTTGTGACAGCAGATGTTAGTGTGCAGGAGGTTGGGGAACTAAGGGGAGTTTGTTACTATTGTTATCATGTCACTCCTCATCCTGCTCTAAATCTGGACTCTTCTAATATTTGATTGTAACTATTATACTTGTCATAGATATTTTTTTCCTTTTCTTTCTTTTTTTTTAAAAGGAAAAACCTGTACTGTACTATAAGGAATATTGTTTATGAAACTGCTGTGTGCCTGTGTTAGTGAAGTGTCTCCATCTCTTATTTAGGCACCTATTTAAGTAAATATTGAGATAATATTGAGCAAATATTGAGAGTAAATATTAGGTAAATATAAGAAAATTGTGCAGTATTCTTCACCATCCTTTAGTTGTGAGAATGCTGAAACAGGATTCTCGCTATAGTGTTTCTGTTTCTCTTTATTGGTATTCTATATATTATTTCACATATGTGTGTTTTAAAATGATCTCAAAAGTTTGGGTGTCAAACTATGCATCTCATTCAGGAGAAAATTGACTGTGTTCAACAGTATGAGTTAAACTTTTTATTCACTTTTTGCTTAATAGACAAGAATGAAGAAACCTACAAATCTTTGACAGCTTTCAGGTCTGACTACTTTAGTAAACTTTCAGCTAGACACCACATTCAACTTCCTCAAGACATTGAGCTATTACCCGTTTCAGCTCTTCAAACTGTTTAGAGGTTTTTAAAATATACCAATTTCTAAATTCTTTTTTTTAGTTTAGTTTCTAGTTTTGTCATCCCTGTGGGATGGTGGGACGCAATTCTGATTCCTGTCTGGTACGTGTAAAGAAATTGACAAATAAACAGACTTTGACCTTAAGAGAATTTAGAGTGCAGGTCATGTGAAACACTGTCTATTTGAGCAAATTCAAGACATTTTTGTAAAATTCCTATGGAATCCTATTTTAAATATCAGCCTGAGAAGTGGAAGAGAGGAGAAAAGTCCTACATTTCCAAATAGCTTCCGTTTCAGAACGTAGCAAAAATGTTTACAACTGCAATTTAAATAATTCCCCATTTTGAAGTGGAACCTGTGTAAGAACCTTTGACACTAGGCAAATATAAAAACTTCTCCATTATATTTTTAGATGTAATAACTACAAATAATTATGTATCTATCAGTGTTAGCCTGGCCAGAGTCGGTGTGCAACACACCCTGGTGTTGACATGACAAATGTTCACAAGATTGTGTACTGTACATACACTGACATGGTCACCATTAATCTATTTTCATCTGTGTGAAACAAGGCGCTGGTAGGAATGCATCCAATGTTTTTTATGTTTTGGATTCCAAACTCATCGCTCATTACATTGCTTTCTATTACATAAGCAGTACAGAAAATACAGAAAGTGTAGCATTCGGGATGCAATATAACTGGAAAAACAAGTAATGAGTAAATGTCAAGCAATAGCATGTGCAACATGGTTTTACGGTTTTTGAACTCTTATTTCCTCTTTCTTCACCTGTTCCCCTTTTCATCTGCAGTTCCCTAGTCCAGGTGTTGATAAAGATTCCCAATATGGGTCTATTATTATTGGCTTTTAGTTACTTCATTTTATGAAAGTATTTACTGTGTGTTCTTTCTTTCTCTCCATTTTGCCCTTTCTCTCTCTGTTGGTACCAGACACCGATACCTGTAGTAAATCTATCAGTTAGGTATTCCGCATTAGGTACACGCCCACTCTTCTGCATATTCAGCAATCACGTGAAGAAGTAGCTGTAATAGTCACATGAGAGGCAACAATGAGACTCGGTCGTGAAGTCCAGCATGTAGTAATGGGCGTCTTAAAACCTAACTCATCTAACAAATACGTTCCAAGTCCCGCTGTCTCCTTTTTAATTAGGAGGATATTTTTTAAACAAACCAATCTTTTTAACAAAGGAAAAGTTTGAATTCAAAAGTAAAATGAATGTGCTTCCACCTTGCTCCCAGCATATTTGGCAAGATCACATTTGTATGACAGTGGACATAAACAGTGGCAGCTAGTCTTTAGCCTGCCTCCTAGAGACACATCTGACAGATTTCGAGATGTGTCTGCCGGGATAAAATTCCATGCCTCATCTGAGCTGCATGCCAAAAAAAAAAGCACGCATTTTTACATGTTAGCCTCCTCACAATAAACTGGCAATAAAATATGCAAAATTGTCAAACAAATACATCTGTAAAATATTCCAGCACAACATATGTGCAAGTACATTTAAATAAAAGTATATTTTTGCAAAATCAACGCTTCCTATATTTTAGTTGTGTAGAATGTAAGTATTATTGAGTGGTCCAATTGACATTGTAATGCTGACTTTAAATCAAGGCATCTGGGTCAAATTCCCAAAGTTACTGAACATTTAAGGTTTAGATATGACAATAGTCAACCTTTATGAGAACATTTAGATTAACTGTATTTTAATTGAAAGAGCACCTGTGATAATGAAAACATAAAACATAGATTTTTTGGATATATTCTTTAAAATGCTAAACTACAATTGATTTAAAAAACTTTTTTGTTCCCTCATTATTAGTAATTCATGTATACATATCTTATTGGAGATAATGACCCAGATCAACAACTGAACATTTTAAATGAATCTTATTGCATTGTCTTCCAAAAATGACATTTCAAAGCAAGATAAGTATGGTTGCTTCATTCTCCACATCATCATTCCTCCATGTGATTCCTCTATGGAACGGAGATCTTCGGGATCTGCTAATCTGATGATTTTGTTAAAGAATCTGAAAAAGAAAAAACAATTCCAGAAAATAAGCATCCCTGTTAAGATATGATTGGCTGGACATGGAGATGGCTCGAAAAAGCAGTAGTTTGTAATTAAGATGTTTTTTGTTGGGTCATGTACATTGTCTAAAAGCTAAGACAGAACTAAAACAAAAAAAGTTAACTTTGTTGCCAACATGAGATATTCAAAAACCTTTGTTTGCAGGTTTTCAATTTTTGGCATGAAATAAGCTAAGGAAGTCTACTGGCTCCATTCCACTATCCACTGCCTGTTCATCTGGGCAGAAATCTGGAGGGTTGAGTAGGCCAGGATCAGCAATACCAATGACGTTGTCGAAGAAGCTAGATAAGGAAAAACGTGATAATAATTTGTTATGACATCTTATGCAGGGTTCAGTTATTTTTAAATGCTGTAACATACCTTGTCACTACCCATCCAAACTGATCAGTTTGATAACTAGTGGAGATAGGAATGCAACCGAATTCAGTGACTGTGCTCATGTATTTTCCTTGGAGAACAAAAGAAAACAAAATGGTCATAGGTTGACTGTAATAAGTATGAGAGAAAGTTATGGTTGAAAATTGCTCTCGAACCAGCTTTGTTGGGCAGATCTCCTGTCCAGGTGTTGACCAGAAGTCCTTGTCCGGGTCCAGATGAACTGCCCAGAATAGCCTGGCCCAGGAAAGAAGCAGTCTTTGGAATGGCCAGGGGCTGGAAGTCTATCTTCAGGGGCTTCTTCTTGCATGTGCGGTTTTTATAAGAAATCTCATACATGGTAGCCTAATGATAGATTTGTGGGATGAGAATGTGATTGGTTATTCTTGTCTTTTATATTTAGAATATATGAAGTTCAATAAAGCTTGGTGTGAAGAGAGAAACTACAATTTATGCAAGAATGTGGCTTTTTTGATTGCTGAGCACTAAGAAATCAATCTTTGTGTGGCTGTGTTTAGATACGCTTTTGAATTTTGGTGATTATGTGTGACCAGAATGGTTCATTTTCAATTTTCAATTTTTGGGGTATTTTGTCTTGTTTCTCACAAGAGAAGCTGGATTTCTTAATGTACTAATCAAATGTAAATTATTTACAACCGACTGATTTCTACCAGTTACTCTTAGGCAATCTTGTCCTTTAGTATTGTCTCTTCATGTAGACCTATTTTTTAAATATTATGCCAACTACAATCACACAGCAATCCATTACAGTGAAATGAGAGACAGATCACCTCCCTGAAGAGCAGCAGCACATCATAGGTGAATGACTTATTCTCATATGTCCCCAACTCCATTAACCTTGTCCGCTGTCCAAGTGCATCATACATGTATCGAGTAAAAGTCGACAGCTTTTCATTCTGTGTGGACTGGAGAATGAAAATAGAAACATGTTTATATCCAACTTTTTATGCCCTGGTGGTTGTCGTGCTCATGCTTTAATTTATTTTGTACGGTACTAAAAAAATACACCCACCACAGTGAGGGCTCCAGTCAGGAGAGGAGGACTTGCTGTGTGGAATCATAACACTTAACATGACATCATATTGACCCCAATATTTCTTTAACGCTGATAATGCACAAATTTTTTAATAAACATATGCAAAGATAAATCACTTACCACATGGGTGAGGTTTCTGTGCCAGGCACCCTGCCACTAGACAGGTTAACACCACTAGCAGTCTCATTTTATAAGGTTCCACGTCCTTGTTCACGGGCAGCGGCAGACACTGTTGTGCTCAATATGAGACTCGCATATTTATAGGCCCTGTAACTTGAGAACCATTACACACACCCACTTCAGTTTTTTTATGCTTACCTATGGTAGATAAAACCTCTGTTATCAGAATGGTTGAAACATAGGGCCACCCAGGAAAAATCACTATTGCTTGTGTTAAAACATTGAAGGTGGTTAATGTTAATGAAGTCTTTACTTGTTTAGTAATTTCACTTCAACAGCCAACTCAGAATACATGAATAAAAGGTACAATACATTCTAACCGAAACTTTTATTTTTTTATTTGATTTTTATTATTTTTGAATTTATGACTTTCACTCAGAAAACAGAGCGGCTGTAAAAATTGTGCACAGTGGGTCAAGGGGGAAGAATGTTTGTGTTCAGCAAAGAAGGAGACCAATAAACTCTGGACTGGATTCAGGCTGAGAGTCAACAAGCCTTTCACGTGCTTTAAAGCTGATAGTTCTATGAATGACAATACTGTCACATGATAGTGGAGGTGTGTCACATTCCTATTACCAAGCCACCTGTATGGGAATAAAACATTTGCTGTGAGACTTTGAATGATTTCATAATACACCTTAAATACATAACTTGGGTAAATCTCCATATTGTTTATGTTTTTTTTTTGTCAAGGTTGTGTCTTGATCTTAATATTTGTATTTTTTTTTATTCTTTTAAAAACATAATGTTCAGTCATACGTACAACTGGAACAAATGGTTTGTAATTGACAAAGATCCCTGAAAAATGTTACATTTTTCTGATAATGCACAACATTTTGTCAAAATGGCACATCCATAACTACACTTTTAACTACTTGAGGAGTGTGTTTAATCTTTGTTCATTTAACATTTACCCTTGAAACAGCAGTTATAGCAGTGTGGTTTAAGCGGCTGTAGCACAAGGGTTTCTTACTCTGAGGGCTGTTTGTTGGTTCTGTAGAGATATTTTCAACGTGTTGATTACCACTTTGATTAGTGACATCAAACTGACCTGGGACAGCCTGGAAAATGTTGTAAACGGCTGCTAAAGGGCTGGTAGATTGAGGTTTTACTAGTAGGCCTACTGGGACAATTTCAGTCTCCATGTGGTCTTTATAGTTCTTTATAGTTCTACAGAGGTCGTGTTGTGGAGGAAACTTTAGCCTTCCACCCAGGTACATCAAAAGTTTAGTTCACCAGTTTAAGTTTCCAAGAAACAGAAGTGCCTATCAGAGTCTGAAAACTTGCTACTTTCCTCAGTTCCTGTTTTTGATAGGTTACTTTGCTGTAGTTTTCTGCATGTAGAGGGGTGTAGATCAGTTGAGATTTTCGCCCATGATGACTGGGAACTGAAACTGTTACTGAGAGACAACGTTTTGAAGATGAGCTGGGACATTGGCTGCATCACTTCTTCAGCTACTGTTTCTGTGCTTCATCAACTGCATGAGCCATTCCATTCACATTAGTGTCCAGTGGTTCTATTGCAGTATGTATTGCTTCATTCTGTCTTGAATCCTATGTTCTTTGGAAGAGAAATGGAAAGTGATACTATTGTTACAGCCTGATGGCCTGTCACAAATAATGACATGGAGATATTAGTCACATGTTATTTATCTATTGTGGTGAATTATGGGATGGTCGTCTTCAAATAGCTCAGGTGAAGGTGCTGCAGGAAAAACTCTTGAGGCAGACTTGGTCGAACAAAGAGGATTCTATTGTTAGCCAGGTCTGAGTCAGTAGTACAGATTGATGCATCAAGTCTGGAGGAGTCTCATCGCCTGATTTCAGAGAAAAACTCTGCTCACTCTAGGTGTGCCTGTCCTTATATTTGGTAATCCTGTGTCTGTACTTTTTGTCTCAAGTCAGGCAGTTTTCATCCAGGCATGCTGCCCGAATATGGTTTTGTCCATATCATAAACCTTTCCTTTTTTGGTCCTCCGCCAGGCGGTCTCCACCCTGGCATTCCGCTAGAATATATTTCATCCATAGCTTGAGCGTCTTCCCTGCACTCTACTTTAGGAATGTGTTTTCTCAAATGTTTATGCTCAACGAACAGAACAGTCTGTGCTTAACTGTAAGCTTCAGACACTACACTATATATCATTTTAAAACCAGATGAAAGGTCGTATAATCTGTTTATAAGATTCTGACATGTAAAGCCTTGGAATGAAAATTGTTTGAAATTTTTACATAATTGCATGTCAATTTGGTTGTGTTGTACATGAAGAAGGCGTAGGTTTTAATTTAGCAAAATGTAATGTGGTAAAATTATTATGAATAACACAATCTTTATACGGGCCATATATGAACATAAAGTCACTATATTATGTAATGATTCCATTGCCGAAATTCAGGTTTGGTATTGAGAGCCAATCCAAATCCAACAAAAACTGAGCAAATAGCACCACCACCTGTTCTTTGCTGCTACCTCATTGCTTTGGACTGCTGGGTAGAAAAATAAGGTGCTCCCGAAGCACTGATCATTGCCTCGAGGCAAGGCAAGGTAAGGTAAGTTTATTTGTATAGTACATTCAGTGTACAAGACAATTCAAAGTGCAATCCTCCACCAAATCACCCTCTTCCATTCTGACAAAAATGTGCAATATTTAGTGCCGATGAAGAAATGGATTTCTTCCTTTTGGGGCCCCTTACAGTTATGAGGGATGAGGGAAGAGGGGTCTGAGAAGTGGACAAACATATCTTAAAAGATTTATCAAAACAGTGCCAGCATTTATAAGAATAATCTTTAAAGCCTAATAATGCATAAGTTTACATTTCAAAGTTTCACACTGTAGTGTCCAGTAAAACCAGAGAGCCAGTCCAACAGACGTTTGAATTGTGAGTGAGGAATTGCAATTTATCACAATTATAATTACAATTACAATTTATTGAACATTATTTTGTTTTTCCACATACAAAATTGCCGCAGAAACCTAGGTTGCAGATTGTTGGTGTGTCTTCCTGGTAGGGTAGTATTTTAAAACGATGCATTCAAGTTTATCGGAAATAACTATTACAACGTGCTGTCATAGACGCGGACAGCAGGCAGGATTTTTAATAATAATAAAAAAAGAAATGAGCCATTATCTGGCTCTCTAGGAGGCTGCGCTTTTAAATATTAATCAGACAAACTAAAATGCCAAAAACATATGTATATATTGCTAATTCGTAAATAATAGAACTAGATTCTAGATTTTATTTTCCAAAATAATTCAATTTTCGTATGAGTTTCTGGCCGTTTATATAGTTATTGTTTGTCCTTCCCTCTCTTGGAGATTGAATATATTATTTGACGTTATAGGATTTGTGCTTGCGCTAGCAACAGGTAGCATGACTATGATGTGCACAATTACAGCACTGTAAAATTAAACAATCTTGGAAACACTTTTTTGGGAACATAGATGTTCGGTGTATTTCACGAATATTGAAATATGTTGTCAACGGTGTATTATATTCATTATATTTTAGACAAACAAACACAAATTTAGAGCCACATTCCACTATTGATTGCCTCTTGAGAAAAACAACAACAAAGAATGTATGTCACCAGACGTTATCAACTCAAGGAATTGTGAATCTAAAGGCGACAAAACGTGTTTATTTTGCAGCAAAGCCAACAGATTATAAATAGCTGTGGTGGTGTGTAATCATGCATGAATGCTTGCACACAACAAGCGTGTCTACAGACTGTGGTGTTGCTGTGATGGTACCAATAGGCGGGACTGTGGCTCCGCAGTATGATTTGTGAGCCGCACAGCTGGAACTAGAGCAGAAGGCTTGGCACGCGTTCCAGCTGAGGCTAAGCTCAACTGTTCATCAGCAGTTACGCACGACTTGCATCCAAGAGCGTCTGCAAAACGCTTGTGTGTGCGTTGGGGCTGTTCGTCAAAAATACCGCATATGGAGCATTCAAAGACACAGCGTTAAGTCCGAGGAAAGCTCCGAGTCTGTATCCCCGCACGAGTTATGGTGGATTCGGATCACTGCCGCATTTAAACGCAAGATCTTGCCCCAACACGGTGTGAATTCTGCGCTGCCGATGATGTATCGCTTTTCGTCTCCGAGCTCACTCCACACCTGTTATCAGTGCAGCTTCTTCTCTCCGAGCATGGGACCTTTAAAACTCTGAAGGTAAGAAATGGATCACAACTTGCACGTTGGTAGCGTTTAACAACGCTACCAGCTGTGGTCATATGGGTTTTTTTAAAACGAGCAATTCCATGATGAAACTCTGGTGATTTACATAAATTGATATATAGCATATTTAAATTTTGCTTGGATCTTGATCTAGCTTTGGCAAAATCAGCCTTGATCCTATTGTAGCACCATCAACTACACCGAAAGCAATGTCATGTTGATTCATCAGGAGTCATAGTTGCTTCTTTTACTTGTGTAAAAGTAATGACAGCTTATGTGGCTGGACATGCAGATCACACAATTGCATCTAAAAGCCTTCAAATAAGCATACTTGTTGCACAGATTTGATGAAGGTGCCATAAGATGACCCCCCTAGTCATTTGTCCAAACCTGCTCATGGAGGACAGCCATGTAGAGGAATGAATGCACAAACACATTATCTTTACGGATGCCTATAGGTAGCAAGCAGCCAAACTGATGCTCAGATGTTTGAGTTTCATTGGTGAGACATCTATACCTGGAATATGGATTTTTAAATTCATAGGTGCAAATATGTGCACATTATTTTTTAGGACGTCATCGCATCAGGTAACTGATAGAAGAAGATGAAGAATGGCCTGCTCCTAAATTTAGATTGAGGGAGTGGCAGGATTCCTGCTGTGTTTGGCACCACAGTGATGGTTAACAGAAGTCTGCTGGCATGTAAAGTTGTAGCTCTAAAATATCAGTCTAAAACTGTGTCTCCCACTATGATGGATTTTTAGCAACAGATCCCAGCAGCTCCATAAAAAAACACTTAACATTTTAGTGTTGATTGGAATTTGAACTGACTGTAAAATAACTGATTCAGCTTCGGCTGCCTAATTGACTAGAAGCCAGACTTGCCTTCCTCCCTTTCATTTTCCTTTTATGAAGCCCCTGTTCTCTTATAGAAGTCTGCAGCAGTCTTGGCTTTGGCGATTTAGGGTGATCAGCTCAGATTAGGAGAAATATTTGAATGCCAACTTCACCCCAGTGTTATCCGTTCATGTTCTGGTGTTAAAGCTGGAGTATTTGACATGTAATTTGTAGCGGCCTGCCTGTCTGGACATTTGGAAGTATTAGCTGCAGTGATGCAGTCCATACCTTCCTTTAGGGAAGCACAAAAGTCACTTGAGTGTTTTCTGTCCAGCTGCTGCGGCTGCTGATTAGCTGCACCCGTTTTGAATATCGGGACAAGCTTGCTTTTGTGTGCTCATTCATTCAGGTCAATGTTGGATTCAGAGGATGCAAATTATGCATCAGTTAGCACTGGACTTCATCGGTGCAATGGCCAGCAAAGCACAGCAAATAATGTCAGTCCTTTTTAAAAACTAATTCTAGCTTATTTGATCATCAGTAACCTCAAATACCCGAGTGGCCTCTGTGAAATGATGCACCCATAAACTGAAAATGATCATGACCTGAAAGATATAATGCTTCCAAGACGTGGGCCTTCAAAGATTCAGAGCACTTGCAAAATGTTGGAAAGTTAAAACACAGATAAACAAAGGACACCTTATCCTATACTTTCTTGTGTCGCCTCTTCCGCTGCAGTGCAATGACTTCTGGCTTTTGGAGCAGTTACTCTTCTTAGCATCACTCCCAGCTGGCTCCTCCATATCATCCTGCAGCAGTTCTGCACTTATCAGCAAAGCGAGTCCTAATTAGTTTCATTGTGAATGACAGTTCCTTCACGCTAAAGGACCACTAGTAACATATTCGGGAAGATGAGAAGGAGGAAGAAAGAAATAGTTGATACGAGAGAGGGAAAATATCCCTGTAGCCAATAGCAATATTTAGCCAGGAAATAATTATTAAAAAGAGTCAACATAGAGCAGCAGCTCAGACATACAGACTGCTCATGAGGAGTATGAAAAGTCAATTACAAACTCTTCTTTTGCTAATCCATCCCATTCCTTCACATTCCAGGCACAACACACTTAATTAACTGCAACCAAGACATGCCATTTTTGAGCTTTTGGGAGTTTAAAAAAAAGAAACGGATTTAAAGAATAAATAGATAAAAATAGAATATGTACCGGCACACAGTGTGGGAAGAGCTGGAATCAACTTCAGTTTAACTCCTACTTGCTTGGCAGAACACAAGCATTTCTAAAATTCTTATGGGGGGTAAGGGAAGGGATTATCTTTTAACATTTTATGTGAATTGGGTCACATATAACCTTCTCAACCCAAAGAGTCCAAATTATACAATGACAGGTTAAAATACAGTTGTGAACAATGAACACAGGTGGGAAGAAAGATCAAAACTAAACAAAGTGGTACAACATCTTGTCACATAATGACCTAACACAGTGAATGGCCTATTATGGAAATGGCAAGATTGTGGCAAGATAGTAGAAGTTTGGCATCAGTGTAAGCAGGTGTTGGGTGTTCCCTTTCAGAAGGGGAATTGAAATTGCTTGTCAACCTGCACCCAAAATAAAAGTTAATTCCCTTGACTTTCTTTTCATGCATATCTTTGCAACCTGTCTAATTTTGTATCTAAACCTGCAAAATCAACAGTGTAATGTTAGTTCAGGAAATGAAGGGCTTTTTGTTTTGCCCAAAGATCTGGCTCGTTTTAGGGAGGAATACATAAACAGGAAGTTGCCATGGCTGTTAAACAGCTTCTGTGAGGGAGAAAACAGAGGCTGGCTTGGTGAAAATGAAACCTCCAACATTCACACACAAAACAAGTTCAGAATGACTGTTGTATGAAACCACTTCACAGTGCAGTGAGCCAAACATTGCTGGGCCATGTTTTCCTTGCTTTATCTTTTTCTTATATATCATTGGTATTATTTTTCTGTATGAATTGACATGTACACCACATTATTTAATTTCCTTAGGTTTCTTTATATATCTATAAACCTTTATTTTACTCAACCTTGGATTGTCATCTCTTTTAAAATTGACAGTAAGATCAAATGTATTATCACAACAAGTGATAACATAACATGTGTTATTCTTCGCTTGAGTACTGTAGAACTCTGACCAAGGCATACTCTATAGATGTTAGATGGCTGGGTTGGACAGAATCGCTTTCTTGCTTTCTTGAAACCCAAAACCCAAAACCCAAAAGATGTTGTTGCACGTTAGGTTGATTTCACAATGCCATTTGGCCTCATCTTTCAGTTAAAGCATAGAAAGAGTTTTGAGGGAAGTTGTATGTGTCATCAAGAAAAACAACAGTGTGTGATAAAACTGGTGTTGCAACATACAAAAAGTGAACTTTATAAGCAGAAAGTCCTGCAAAGAGTGGATGACACAGTACAACATTAGGTTTTAAAAATGTGCAGACATGTACAAACACTTTCCACATTTCACATGCCAACACACCCTTTCCGGCATTTGTTATGAAGCAAACTCTCACATCTGTTAAAGGACAGAGGTTTAAGCAGGAAGCCCCAACACAAAGCAGCGGTAACTGTGTGACACAATTATGCATTGTTGTGTTAGGGAGCCTGGAGAATGTATTCTTACAGAAAACTGGCTCTGCAGCAATGCCCTTTCTGCCTCACACATTAGACTTTTTTTCTGTCAGAAAGTTAACAAGTGACGAAGTGCTGAAACTGGCCCAGGAACTGTATGTATGACATTTTTGGTTTTATAAGAAAAAAAATCTGCAACTCTACATTTTTTTCCCAATCATTCTGTGATTTCAAGATTATCCAATGTTCTGCTTGCATTATTTATATACAGTCTTAGTAAGGCAACCATCATTAGTTCTTTCTACATAAAATGGGCATTGAATACATCTATATATGTATGTCTATTTTATGTATTTATGAGTAGCAATTATCGAAAATGATCTTGTCGACGTCTTTCATCATAAACATGCCTTTCAGTTTAATACCTCTACTTCTTCAGCCAACAACAATATTTTCCATTTTTTACTGATCTGATGCACCATCTTCCTGCCTTCCATTTTTTCCCCCATTCATCCCATCTTCCCTTGGCCACAACCCCTTTTGCTCCCAAAGGAAATACTGTAGTTGATAATCTCTGTTTGCAGCCGGTGCCTCCACTCCAGTGTGGCATTCTGTGTCCAGGGAAAAGGAAGTGGTTCTCTTCCTGCTATCAGGGCCCTGGCCTGTACTCTGTAAATAGAGCCTACCACCAACTACTGTGTCTGTTCCTCTGGAGAACTATATCTGTCACATCACACAGCACACTAATAACAACTTCCTGAGGAAAACTAGAAGGTGTTCAGTTAAAGATAAGTGTTGAGTGCATAGCGGTCACTAAAGTGGAGAGCTATTTAAGAGCAATTTTCGTGTGTATATATGGGTTTTTCTGTTTTTAATGCGCATAGGCCATTAAAGTGGACACTGGTGCATCATATAATAAAAATTGAAATGTGTCCACAATTGTATAGTGTTAAAGAGGAGCTGAGAGAGACTAAAATAAATCAAGAGATTTACTGAATAAGAAAAAGTATGAGATAATAGTGAATATTAAAATAAGATGAGTTGCATGCACAGTTTTATGTTTATGCATTCTTTTAACAAATGTAAAAAAAATGCCACATTGTAACATACAGTATTTCATTTGTACAAAATCTAAAAATGCTATCCACTTGACTGGACATTTAGAAAAATCCTTGAATAAACATTAAAAAACAAATATTTTCCCCTTTTTTATGCCTGAAGAAAATCAAAAACACTTTTGGAAAGAAATCCTGATTGGAATGATCATAATTCATGCATGACAGGGATAAGAACAGGTGTTTGTATGTGTTTTACTGGCAAGGACAGAGAGATGAGATAAAGCTCCAAAGTCGGTTTTATCTTTGCAATTTCTCTCAACATGTTATGTGCAAATATAAGGAATATATTTAAAAAACAGCATGCAAAAACTTTTACAGTTTCCAGAGATGGCACTTAACATGGATGTTATAGTTACTACTAATGTAGCATTTTATTGTAATGTGGCCCTAATTTTCAAGTAAGCCCCTTTACATACATCAAATACTTTATGTAGTACATGTATGCTATATGCATACCAAAACATATATTCATTTGAGAATTATAATATCTTTTGTTGTCATATATGATTATATTTCTATATTAGTTTTCATTTTGATAGTTAAGATGTCTGAATTGGGAACCAAATAAATATTGATGTCTGATTTGCTTAAGCCAACTGCTTAAGCCAACTGCAACATGACAATGTGTTAACAGTGCTAGCATGCTGAAGTTTAGCATGTACATTTAAAAACAATGTATTTATTTTTTAGTGTTCTGGTCTTATATAGTTAGAACCGAACAGTCTGCTTGACATATAGATAATGCCAACACTGTACAAGAAAGGATAGCAGTTGAATATGGAATAAATAATCTAAGGAACAAAAAATTCAAAATTACTACCGTAATCTGTTTAATTGGAGTTTAGAAAACAGAGTGTAAAGACCACCCATTTTAACCCTCCATATAGTAAATTGTGATGACTACACTGTTAAAATATTGTTAGTATCAGTTCAGCTTTATTTACTCGGTTAGTGAGAGAAAATTATTTTATTGTGACTGTGCAATAGGACAGGTATTTACTTGCATCCAACAAGCCCATTACTGAAATATCAGTAACACAATAAATGTAATAAACTTTCAGCTGTTTAACGAATTCTCATATATCAAAGTTTGTTCCAGTTTCCAGATGCAGACGGTAATGGAGGTGTATTTATTCTAATATTCATGAAATGGTGCATTCATGTGGTCTTGTTGTGATCTCATTTCAGATAGCGCAATAACATTTTTACAGTACAGTACACAGTATTTAACATGACATTACAGATATGTCCGGTAAGGTAAATCATGGTCCTATGCATTTATGGCATCAAAAAGCCAAACTACATAACAATATAAGTGGGAGATTTTACTGTTCTTTTGAGGCTGTAATAATGGAAACTGCAAAGGCAGCACTTCGAAGGAGTCTGTTTATTTCTAACCAGAGGATGTGACAATTTCATTGCCTGGTGAACCAGCAGAAAACTGCACATTCTGCTTGGCCAAGGTTGACCAGTCACCCGTCAACTTCCCTTTATCCCTGCTGCGCCCCATCCCACCCCCTTAATTTGCCTGATCGATTGGCCTGGGTCATCATCACCAGGCAGCCACGGATGACACCAAAGCTCTCACAGTATGTGCTCCTTCAACCCGACCCACTGCTTCACTTCTATAGAAACGGAATCAGAAATGAAATGTTGCAATGGGGAGATAAACAGAAGGAGGGATGTTGTTCAGGATGATTCAGACTGAATTCTCCTGAAAGCTCAGATAGAAACTCTTTTTGGGTTGCATGGAAGAACGCCTGTCATTGTAATGATAAATGGTGCATTTGCTTGGATTGGCAAGATAGTATCATCATCACGACGGGCACATTGAGTACTGCAGTTCCAGAGTAGAGCAGTTTAAAGTAGACTTTTTTGCAGAGTTTGCCCCTCTCCCCTGACACCTTTAAGGGATGTGTAGAAGAGGCAAGTCTTAAAAAAAAAAGTAATTTTGTACAGAAGTGAAACGGAGTCCGAGTTTGCCACAAAATAACAAAAAAAGGTTCTTGTATCAAGCTCATATTATTAATAAAAGTTGTTGGGTAGTGATGGATGAATTCGAAACAACTTTCCTACTTAATTTTTTAGATGAGTGCTATTCATACTGTAAGAGTTTTTAGTTGAACACAGGGGTGACACAAGCATTCTTGTTTTCACAGAGGTTTAAGTGTGCTCTGTAGCTTGAATTTGGTTCCGGTAATGAACTTTCATGGCTATTTATAGCCATGATCAGAAACATTAATGTTCTCCATCATACCTTTGCATTTGATCTCATCACCACATGCTCATTATACATGTTAAGCTAGCTAATCACATTTTACCTTTACATCATCAACATGTGTATTCCCTTATTATTCTCTGTATTTTTAATTCTTTATATCTCCACACACAACTGAGTGCAGCTACGGCAGCTTGTGAAGCCTGTAATTGTGTGTGTCCACCCACCGTGTTGCAACAGAGACAGTAGAGTGAAAGGCTTTGTTGTGTCAGGCGCAATAGATACGCACACATACTCATCACACCATTCTCACACTCACTAAAACACAGTATTCAAAAGCCATTAGTTCAGATATGCACCAGAGGGGCGTGTTGTCGATTTTGTTGCAAAACTGTTATATACCCATGCATCTGTTCCTATCATACTTATCAGCAACAAGGCAAAAAGGTTTCATTCTACTAAAACGAATTCAAACATTTTCCTTACATCATCCAAAAACATGCATGTTAAGTTCATTGAGCACTCTAAATTGTCCCTAGGAGTGAGTGAATATGAGTATGTTTGGTTGATTGTCTATGTATGGCCCTGTGCTGGACTGGCAACCTGATATTCATAAATTATTACTGTGCGATGCGTCAAAGTCGTCCTACTGTCATCAGGTATATCTGTGTGCAACAGGGTTTTGAGCAAGGTTTTTACCATTAAATGATGCAAAATGTCACAGATGCAAAGCATTTAAGAAACCGTATGTATCAAATATGATACATGTGGCATTATAGGGTTAAACTTTTGGTAAATGACCAGTTGTTCTCAGACCATTGTTGAACCCAACAATCTAAACGGATATAAGCCTATGCTTACCTTTATACACTGTTTTCCCACTAGGAACAGTACATAATCTTGTTCTCCGTCTGGTACTCACCAATCATGTTGTCAGTGTAATATTGAGAAAGATGGATAGACATATTATTTAGGATGTTTCCCAGACATTAATAAGCTGCATTTTTTATCTTGTGACTTTACTGCAAATTTTTTGCCCACTTGCTGTTCTTCTATTTTTATTTTCCATTTTTTTCAGTGATTGTCACATACGCCAAACCATACAGAGAGAAGCGAGGGGAAAACAGAACAAGGGAGTGATGGAGTCCATACTATCAGAGCAGTCTGCAACGGTGGACGAACTGGTGGAAGCATGCATTCAAGCTTTTGGTTTGCCATCCTAATAATACGATTGATTACATTAATTTGTCACTTAATGAATAAAATTAATTATTCATTTTGGTCAGTAATTTGAATTTAGATGGTTTTGTGATGGTTTTGGTATTTGTGTTGCAATCCCTGTAGATCACACGAAAGTGCTGCTGATCCTAATACAAATAATTACATTTTCTTTTAAAGATGACAAAGGCTTTTTGAAGGATGTCCCTTTGATCCGCATGTTCCTCATGATGCACCCTTGGTATATCCCTTCAACTGACATGGCTAAGAAGCTCGTAATCAAGTATCCTTTAACTTTATTCTCTATCAAATGTATGTATCAGTAAAATGAAATCAAAGACTTTCTTCAAAATAATTTTTTTGATTACTGCAAGGCCTTTGAGGAATTTAGTTGGCAACAGAAGTTTCAGGTTCTATCTAAATCTACACAAGGTTGTTCCTTGACTTTGGATTTAGATCTCAAGAGGAGAGCTGTTCTGCCGAACACCGAACAAGAATATGCTACCTTGTCAAGTAAATAGCAGCCTTGTCTGTCTGTCTTCTTTCCAGGATTTATATTTCTCTGTTGTTCTTTATGTGTTCTTTATGTTGGATTTGTGTTTTGCACCCTTTAACTGAACTAAATGTTGCCAATGATTACATACCAGACAGAAACTATATTATTTGATAAGCCATATTTCCTCATAGGGTAATCAGCTAGATCAATGGAGTGTCGAACTTAAAAAAGTCAAACTTGCATCAAGTCTATTGTCCTCAAGCTCTCCCAGTCAAAGTCCTCATCTGTCAGTCTTTTTCTTTTTACCAGGTATTGGATTTCCGAGTTTCCTGCAGAGTTCAATCTAAACCCAGAGCTGGCAGACCAGATCAAAGACTATAAAGATCTGCTGACTACCAAAGGCAATGAGAGCCAGAGTCAGCTCATTGACCTAGACAGTGTGTGAGTGAATTGGCTTCTAACTGTTGTATTCAGTGCTAAAAATGTGATTAAGTGTCCACAAGAGTCACCATACAATTGTATCTCCTGTTAACATGCTGAGTTGTGAAAGGAAGTGACTTTTCATTTGTCTATACACAAAAAAACACATTACGTTGTGATTTAAATTTCCTGAATAGATAAAAAGATTAAGATGTGTGCTTGATTCTGATTTTAAAATGCCATTTGTAAGACAAAGAAAAGTGGCAATCAGTGGTTTGTGGAGATTCGGTGTGTCTCAATGTAGTGTTGAATTGATATGCATCACCGTTTGCGTACATCTTTAAAATTACAGTGATAATAAATACTTTTAATTTTGTGCTCCTCTCAGGCCATCATATAAATGGAAACGGCAGGTGACTCAGCGTGTCCCATCAATGTCCAAAAAGAGGAAAATGTCTCTGCTATTTGACCACCTAGATTCCTGTGAACTGGCCGAACATCTGACCTACTTGGAGTACAAATCCTTTTGCAAGATCCTGGTCAGTTAAATTCTGAAGCAAGGTTACATCCCACAGACTTATTGTTGCTTATGGTTTTAGGTTTAAGTCCGTTATCAAATTTTTTGGTCTGGATGTCATTTTAATGTCACTTGTTAACAATTTTAAAATTTTTGAATATATTTTTTTAAAATAGGATCTAAAAGAACAGTGCACTGTCAAAACTTTGAAATCTAGTATAAAGCAACATAATGAAACAACATAACAAAAGCGTAAGATGTAGGGATATGTTATAGAATTCATACAATGTGAAACTTCAGATCAGTAACAGTTGCCATTACTTTACTTCTGCCTTTAGTTTCAGGACTACCACAGCTTTGTGATGCATGGCTGCACAGTGGATAACCCAATATTGGAGCGCTTCATTACACTTTTCAACAGTGTCTCACAATGGATCCAACTTATGGTGCTTAGCAAGCCCACTGCCCCTCAGAGAGCAGCTGTCATCTCCCATTTTATCAGAGTGGCACAGGTATGTCTACTTGGTCTTTTAAGTTTGGCCTTAAGGAATTTGAAGGGATCAGGGAAGAAATGCAGGCTGAAGGATCATGATTGGTAGAGAGATGCAGAAAGATATTATTAAAAAAGGAAGGAAAATTGGGTTATTAATTGGGTAATTAAACCTGATCTTGAAGTTGTTGAGATAAAACAGATAAAAAAGTTCAGAAGTTCTCATTACATTGTATTGACAAATTCTGAATTTATAAAAATGTCTTAATACTTAACCAGGACCATTCTGTGTGGAGTTTGAATATCTCCCTGTGTCTGCCGCCTTCTTCCCATCGTCCAAAAACCTGCATGTTAGGATGATTGGACATTCCAAATTGCCCTTAGGAGTGAGTGTGAGTGTGCGTGGTTGTTGTCCTTGTGTGACTCTGTGTGGCCCTGCGATGGACTGGTTGACTGTCCAGGGTGTACCCCGCCTCTCGCCCATTGACTACTGCGATAGGCTCCAGTCCCCTCACGACCCCATTAGGGAATAATCACTTACGAAAATGGATGGATTGATGGATGATTAAAGATATCTTGGCTTTGCCTCATCATAGTAGAGACATAAAGAAACTGCATATTTGAAATGGCTGATTTTACATACACTGGCTGTTTTATCTAGTTTGTTTCTGTTGATGGTAATTCAAATGTTTTTAGATCACTGCTTTCAAATACTTCTGGTCAGCAATATTACAGCAACAATAGCAAAAGTCTTGTTATGAAATGGTAGGTGATATGGAAGCTGTTAATTGAAACATTGTGCTTGATGACAGCTTACACTTTTCACTATTCATGTACTATTTAGTTTGGGTTACAATTCATGTCACCCTCTGGTTATATTTACTACCAACAACTGTGACACTAATAAGTATTGGTCATGTGGACAAATCCACCTATTACATGGTGAGGCTGGGTTTTGGTAAACTGTGATCATTTACAAAATTGCGATGAAATACATCCTCCAAAAAACCTGGGTGAATATTTCTTGTTTGCTTGACACAATCCAGTTATGATTATACTGCAAAAAGGTGATTCCTAGGTGTCTTCATCAGCTTGAAGTTTGTTCCTGTCTTTTTAAACTAAACTATTTTCACATGAGGAAGTGATAAGTTCAAACCTAGTAACAGACATTCAGTTATTTGGAAAAAATACTGTTTCCTAAGACATTCAGTAGCTCTAAATAAGAAGTTATCTCTCAGCATTCAGAAATGTAAATCAATAATAATATGATTTTGAGTGTTGCAAGTATTTTAAAATGAGCAATAAAAGAAAGGCTATATGTGGAACTGTAGACTCATGATGAAACTGGTAAGGATGTTGAATGCATTGTCCAGGGAGGTGAAGTAAAATTCGAATTGTATTATTTATTCATCGGTTATTTCTACAGTGTTTTTCCCAATAATACAGATGTAGTTGTCTTTTAGAACTATACCAATTAGATACACGCGCAATGAGGTCACACTGTAGTTTTTTCCATACACTACAGTCTTTATTTTACTTGTTTTTTCAGATATTACAAAATTAGAATTTTATTACAGGAGAACAACAGAATGGGAATCGTGTCACAGTTCCCAACTTGTTTGGCCATCCAATAAAACAGTCAGAAGAAATTATGTGTACAACAACAACTCCCTTGGGAACTAGGCTATATAAGTGCACACCAGGTTGTTTGTACAAAACAATGTAAAAACAGGAACTTCTGCACTGCAAAGAGCACAACCGTTTGCTCTGAAAATGAATTTGTCTCCTCAGGTGTTAAGTGTCATCCTCCAACTCTAACTGCTTATCTCAAAAAGGTCACTTCCAGCTCCAAATAGTCTCATGTGGTGAGAGCCAAATGCCAAACTTAAGGCTTCACAATGACTCTTCAAAACTCACTGCGTGTGTATCAAGATGTGTCCAATTTACAGTTAATTCTTCCTTATTGAATTTAATTATTGCTGGAACTCTACAGGTGTAGTTCTCATCCTTATAATTACATAATGTCTTGTAAACCAAACTGTTAACTTCTCACCCTTTTTTGGTTCCCTGACAAGATATCTGGAGTCTGTCAACCTCTCTCAGAAAAAAATCCCTTTCTTTGTCCTCCTCGTTTATACTGTAATTGGTTTGATTTCAGCTTGATGTTATCAATAACTTGGGGATGCCAGATTGGCTGAGTTTTTCTTTCTGCAAAAGTTCACTTATTCACTAACCTGCTCATGGAAGAAGCAGCTTCAGTCAATTAAAGAAAGTGCAAAATGATACTTATTTTAATAGGCTATGGGGATCTGTGAATGCATCCACACTGTTTAATGCATGTTTCATTATATGAAGTCTATGCCTGCACCTATAATAGTTTTTATCTTAATTTCTAACTCCAGAACAGACATCAGCTATTCATGATTTATTCAACAGAGTCCCAGCAGGTTTCTTCACCTCTCTCTGTCAGAATACATCAGTGACAAAACACGCAGGACTCCTGTCAAGGAAGCCCAGCAGAGATCTTATAAGTGTTTCACACACATTGATAATGATCACTTTGAGTTGTTCCAGTGTTTCATGAAGCAGTGACACAGTAGGGGTGGATGACAGATACTAATACTGACCATCACTCCAACTTTATGGGAATAACTACAGTACAGTTCTGCTGCAGATTTGAGAAGAGCATTGTTCTTCTTCTCTACTTTGAAAAAACAATCCTGTGGGGATCAGCTTTAATAAACTTGATAATCACTGGACATTTCACTTACTGGCATCCTTAGTTTGTCCATTCATTTGGTTTTCTGATTAAAAAAACATGATCATGCCATTTTCTAACCCTATTTTTACTCCTTGGTATATCAAATTAACAAGATGAAAATTTCTTTAAAAAATTAAGCACAGGATATGTGAATATTCTTTAGTGTTATTATAGTGGGCACATTGAAAATGAACCATGCTTACAACACAAGTAATTGTGAAACAGTTTTTGTTGCCCAATTTAATCTTGACATGTGATTTTTTTAAAATTAGAAACGGTTACTTTTATTAGAATTGATTGTGCATGTTGTCTATGGTAGTATGGAAAAGCTATTTATAATAATTTAGAATCAGGTTGAGGTATTCAGATGTTAGCAACCACCTTAAAGGCCACTGTACACAGAGAGATTTTCATAGACACTTCTCTAAAACTATGAGACTACTGTTTATGTCAAACGTGTTCCTATAATTAAGTTAAATGAAGACAACTTTGTGCAATTTTATGTTTTCTTTTCTCCCTCTCAAATATTCAGCTCATATGGTATCAACTGTGGCCTTTGGTTACAAAAATTGCAATAAAGTCATAGCTGACCACAGTTGTGTTTTAGATGACTATTTAACATGTCTAGGGTGTCAAAAAACAATTTTGAGCTGTGGTATTATTACCCAGTGAACTTCTCATGTTAATTCCTTATTAATTCAAAAACTCTGGAAAGAAATACCTATAATACTCACATCCAGGTTCTAAAATTATGTTAAAGCTGGTTTGAAATGTACTCACAGGCAGCACAGAAGCCCTTGACATTTCTGAAGCTTCCTTTCCGTTCTTTATAGCATCCTCAGGGGTGCACATTTGAAATGCGTCATTTTCATTTTCATTCCTTTTCATTTCTTGTGTTCAAACTAGCATTACAATTCAAAAGGCAGCTTTCTACACCTCAATACAAAGCTTATTTACAGTTGATATCATTTTATGCTTACCTCGACTGATCCCAAAGACTGGATCAAATGATCTCCTGTGGCAAATCCCCCCCCCCCACCCCATTGATTTTCATTAAGAAGCTAGACGACTGAAAGGCAGCATGAAGTCGTGCAGAGTGCTATTCACTAAGATGGAGCCAAAGTCTAACATAGAAATGAGAGGAAATTCATTCAAATTTACATTTTCTGATTAGATTGTCTTAACATTCCATGTCTGCTCATTTTCAAAATTCTTGTAAAACCTCTCCGAAATAACACCACCTTCATGGTCTCTTTGGCCCACTTGGTTTTGGCAATGATTTATACGATAATAAACTCCTATTTCTACTCTTTCCTTAAATATTTTTCCCTTTTCTGTTGACAGAAGCTGCTACAGTTGCAAAACTTTAACACCCTAATGGCAGTGGTGGGTGGCCTAAGTAATAGCTCCATCTCCCGTCTCAAGGACACGCAGGCTCACATCAGTGCAGAGACCAACAAGGTGCACTATGGGTTCCTCTCTATAACCACTCATCAATTTCTAGCCCTGTCAGTCTCTCCCAATTTCCCTCTATTGCTCTTAGCTAATGTAATTTTGACTGAGCTGCCCAGCAGCTTATCTGTGCCCATTACTCCTATGCATTATCTTTTTAGAACTATGAATTTGAGCAAAATACAGACAAAGTTGGATCCAACAGTTGGGGACAGTTACAGTGTCCCTTTAGTTATGTAACTCCATCTGTAGCAATGTTGCACAGAATATTTTTTAACCTTGTTTTGAAATCATTCTTGAAACAAAGTTTTGCTTGATATTTTTCCTCTGACTGTCCTCAACTCCAGGTTTTTAACACCTTGATTGAATTGGTGACTTCATGTGGAAACTACAGCCAATATCGCAAGCGCTTTTCTGAGTGCTCGGGATTCAGATTCCCTATTCTTGGTGTGCACCTGAAAGACCTGATTGCCGTGCATGTGGCGCTGCCAGACTGGACTGATAAAGAGAAGACCCGGGTCAATCTGACCAAAACCCAGCAGTTGTATGCTATACTCCAAGAGCTGGCACTCATCCAGATCACACCGCCCAATATCGACGCTAACACAGACCTGCTCAATCTTCTTACGGTCAGTGCTAAGAATGGCAGAGTTCCTGATACACATAATGAAGCTCAATAGAATTCACAAAACATTTATTGATTCCATTTTTAAAGGATAGTCAGGGTAAAAAAGAACCTGTTTGAGACTTTCCTCTTTTGGGATTTGACTAGCTCATTTTCAGCTGCAATGCTGGTAAATATGTATCACTTTAAGAAAAAAAGATTAGCACAATCATAAAGATTTCATGATATCAAATAATACATTACTTTTCATATTTTGGCACAATTAGCTTTTGATAGGAAAACACTGGTTAAGCAAAATATTCAGCTACATTATTCAGTCTTACAGAAAAACATTTGAGCAAATTAAAAAGGAGACAAGTATGTTGAAATTTAGCCAGTACTAGGAGAGTAACTTTAATTGCATGAAAACTCCTTGCATATACCACATTTCAAAACTAAAAGTTTTGTTGTCAGGATGACTATGATTTGAAATGATCCACGAGATCATCTGTGACTTCTTTTAGATATCACCTCCTCAGTAACGGAAGCCTTTGCAAATTAGGTGACATGGTATTTACAATTGAGTTGCCCTCTTTTGTATATATTTACTTCCTTTCTCCTTTCCAGGAGAAAGGAAGTTTGAACAGGGAAAACATCAATATTTGTTTTTTAGCAGATGTTTCCTGTTCTTGAGAGGTAGAGCTCAAACAATCCCAAGAGATCAATTACTCAGCTTGGCTGCAACGGTTGGTGTGAGATTGATGCTTGCCTTCCGTTATATTACTTGATATTATTATCCATTGTTTTTCTTCAAGGAACTTCACAGGTCTAGAATTAAGAAGCACAAGATTTGCAGAAAACTAATGGCTTATTCTTAGGTTGATGCTTACTGTAATATTGTAATTCACTTTGGATTTAACATCTGCTAAATAGTGTATCCTATTGTTTTTTTTTCTTATTACTGTTATTTCTTATCATTAATTTCTGTATAGATTTGAGTGTTTCTTAGTTGTTTTTCCATGTTTCCATATTTGGGTATTTCTATATCTGTATTGTTTTGCATTTGATCAATGGTGTTTGCTATTTTGTATTGCTTTTGCTTTTAATGCTTAGTTAAACAGTTTCTCCTCCTCTATACCAAATGTAGAATGTGTGTAAAATCCATACACAGAGCATTTCTGTGTTCTTCTGGCAAGAACTTGTTACTGCAGACAACAGGATTCAAAGCAGTGTTTTGTGGCACTTGTAAGGGAGCAAAGCTGACCTTCTGTTCATCTGCTGTCAGACTTCTGGAGAGCTTTCAAAGGTTCCAACAGACTTCTAATCCAACGGTCCTCTGGAAGTCTCATGAAAAGAAAAAAAGAAAATATCAAATAGATGCCTACCACATTATTATTTGTTCCTCCTCAGGATTTCTCCAATTGTGTTAGTTTCAAACCAGTTAATGGAAAAGTGTTTGATTCATATAATCTTTTGCTTTTCAACTTCTATGCTAAAAATAAAGACTGTTGATTAATTTCAAGGTCACAAATCTGTGTAAATTAATATTTAGTCAATATGTTTAGTTGAATGCAGAATTTAAAGAAACGTTTTAGCTAAGCCTTCAGACATCAAATAGGAAAGGTGTCCAACAAATGGCCAGGATGATTTATTATTATTATTTTTTACAATTACAGATAAAAGTTCACTAATCAACAAAAAATTTGTAATACATGTCATCCAAGAATGGGAAACCAAAAAAGGTTTAATTGGAAATGTTTGAAAAGCTGTTATGGAGGCAACTAGGGTGCTGTGGTCATGTTTTAATTCATGTATGGACCTTCAATAATAATTTGAATGCAAAATGGCACTTAAGAATATCACCGGGCCCTGCTCTACAGAAAACCTGTACATAATACTTTCCATAACTGAACTATTTTAATTTTGCTGGGACAAATGAATGATCTGTCATAATTTTAAAGTAGACAAAGAAAGAGCTGCCAGTGGTCTCATTGAAGCCATTTTCCTTCGAATAGGATTTAAAGCTGCACTTGAAAATTTAAAATCATTTTTTGATTTTAATTAGAGTTTGTGAATTTTTAAATGTGTAAGTAAAACTTTCAATTTAAAGTCAGATTTGTCATTGTCTTTGTTAAAATGACACAAGTCCTTTTGCTTTTTCTTGAACTTTTAGTAATCCTGTAGTTTCCCTGAATAAATGAACTAAACTGAATAAATTAACTGACACTAAGAGGCAGAGATTTAACCACTTCCTGAGCTTTCTACTACATCTGAAGTTGAAAACAAATTAAGCTGGCTCAGGTGACATCATGTGACCATAGTCTGAAAGTCAAGTGTTGAGTGACATATTATAAATGCTGCCTTCATTGAAGGCATATTTAAATCCGAAATGCATAAAGCCAAAAAAGCCAACAGCCAGTAAACAGAACTCTTTACACTATACATGCAACATATATGAGAGGAAAAAGTTAAGAAGCTATCCTGAATTGTACATTAACTGGTGGGAATATTTGGTGCATATTTTCTTACTTGACACATAAAAAAACAAAGTTACGTTAATGCTTAACTGAATATAATACTGTATTTAATCAGTCGTCTTAATCAAGATAATTGACTGTGACTGGAGATTTAACCTAACCCACAGACTCTGTGCAGGTATCACTGGACCAGTACCACACAGAGGAGGAGATCTACCAGATGTCTCTACAGAGGGAGCCTCGCAAGCCAGCGGTAGACATTGTATTGAAGTACAATGCTGTGTGTATTGTTAGTACTCCATTTTGCAGAGGCATAACCATTTTTTTTTTTAGCCCCCAAATCTAAAACCCAGTTATTACCTTTGTGTTTCACCAGTAAGCTGATAACTACACAATATGAAATAGAAAAAAAACTAAATGTTAAAAATAAGAGAGTTCTCTTTTAAATGAAAAAAAGGATCACTCTCCTTTCAACAAACTCTGCAAACATCTGGGAACTGATACCAGATTCTGAATTTTTAGGAGGGAATGTTATACCATTCATGTTGTCACAGGATTCTAGGTTAACCACAGCCCTTGACCTTTTTGTAACATTTAGCTTTTTATGATCCTCCTAATGTTTTCGATTGGTGGAAATTGGGTTGCAGACAGTGCATTCTAGCATCCAAGCTTCTCTGCCATGAAGCCATGTTGTTTTCATAGATTCTGTATGTGGTCTAGTTGGAATATGTCATGCATTCCATGAAAGTTACAGCACCTGGATGAGAGTATTTGGGTTCTAAAACCCGTATATCCTTTTAATTGGATTGATGGTGCCTTTCCAGATGTGTTTTATACTATTTTTATAGTCATTGATATACACTAGTACCATCGGGGAAACAGCTTTTTCACTTGAGCACAGATACCAAGTCAGATGTTTTCTTCTCATTGGTCGGTGGAATGCAGAGCTCTGTGGTTTTCAGAAATAATTTCAGATTTTAATTAGTAACCAGAGTATATATTTTTACACATCTCAGTCAAACTTACATTTTTTGTTTTGGTGAAGAGGACAACTAAAATATTCTGGTGTATTTGCAAATATGGCTTCTTGTCAGGATGACGGAACCTTCTCTGACATTTGTAGATGGCACAGAGGACAGTGTTCACACACAATTTCTGGAAGGTTTCTTGAGCCCTTATAATGATATCCACAGCAGAATTATGTTTCGAGTGTTATCTGAGAAGTCAGTTCTTCACAAATATGTCCCCATTTATACCCATTTCTTAATTTCTTATTATATGCTATTTCATATTTTGCACTGTGGAGTATCCAATCATTCTGATATGGCTCCATAACGTGTACATGCAGTTTTTGTGGAATGGTTATAAATAAATATATTACTTGTTGCAAGTAAGATACATTTTTGGGAAGGGCATGCTGTTGTTGACTCTTTTCTCATGCTGTGGAGCAGGATTTTGTGGTCAGTTAAATGTTACCATGTCTATTGGTATATTTGAAACACTTTTAAATGTCCTTGATAACTTTAACATTGACATTACTTTTTAACTGAACTGTTTTACTACATAAATCTGTTTTATAGATGTTTTTCATATATTCCTTATTTTTGTTTTGTTTTATGATTTATAATTAGGGCGGCACGGTGGTGTGGTGGTTAGCACTGTCGCCTCCCAGCAAGAGGGTTCTGGGTTCGAATCACGGGGGAACCAGGACCTTTCTGGGTGGAGTTTGCATGTTCTCCCTGTGTCTGCGTGGGTTCTCTCCGGGTTCTCCGGCTTCCTCCCACAGTCCAAAAACCTGCATGTTAGGCTGATTGGAGATTGGGGAAATTGCCCTTAGGAGTGAATGTGAGTGTGAGTGGTTGTTTGTCCTTGTATGTCCTGTGTGTGGCCCTGCGATGGACTGGCGGACTGTCCAGGGTGTACCCTGCCTCTCGCCCGTTGACCACTGGGATAGGCTCCAGTTCCCCCCGCGACCCCATGAGGGAATAAGCGGTATTGATAATGGATGGATGGATTTATAATTAGGCACTGTAACATTTTTACTGTCTTACTTGTGGGAAAATTTACCTACCCTCTTATGATGTTCTTTCTTAATTAGTATTTAGTTTTTTGGATGTTAAGTGGTTATTGCTGAAATTACTGGCTCTCTGCTCATTATTTTATACATTTTCTTGTCACCGTCAAAGTGAGAAACCAATAGCAGCACTTTTTAGGCCTACAATTTGATCTTAACTTGCACCAGTTAGTAAGTCTGGTCTCATGTTGTATAATAAAGAACATTGGCAACTTGGTTTGATAAGATCAATCATAGAAAGATGTTGCTATGTAACTGATAATGAAATCACACAAATGCAGAAACAGAAATACAACAGTAAAGCTATTTTTTAGATAAATACAACCCTTTCTTTTGCTCTTCTTTTTCTATATTTCTTCTCTGTCTTCATCTTCTAATAGAGTTGCAGTTCTATCAGTATAGTTCCACATTACCATCTTATTTATCATATTTCAACAGTCTCCTAACAAACAATACTTTTTCATGTGTTGTTTCACGAATGAACTAACGAGCGCTACAAGAACAAGCTTTCCAAAGCTAAGTGATGTCTTAAGACCCAGTCAGCAACTGCCATCAAAATCCAGATGAGCTTTTTTTTGTGTAACATAGCAGGATTTCTCATTTTCAAATGTTCTTTATGTTTGTTTTGGAGATTTGTAAGTCAGTTGGTTTTTGTAAACAGTTTGAACAGTATATCAATGGTGTTGGAACTGTAGTTGTACAAACAATGTTTGTTTATTTTTTTCAATTATGATGCAGAACTCAAGCCCTGCTCCAGCATCTGAACCCAAGCCCATGATGATTGATGAGTGGTCTATGTCCGTGAAACCCAGTGCTGACCCTACGATAATTAAGAAACACATAGAAAAGATGGTCGAGGTAAGTCTTTAATAACCCTCACACCACTGTCTCGTAAAGCTAAGTGTTACCTGTTTGACCTGAGATGCACTGGGTAAGATAATTTTTTACCCCTGTCCGCTACTGAAGTACTCTTGTCATAATCATACACTGTAATAATGTAAAAATCCTTTCAAAACCTATGGGTAATATTTTAAATATAATTGACTGCTGATCTGAAACAAAAACAAATATTTCTAAAAGTGAAGGCAATTTAAGTAAATCAAATATACACATACTCATCAACATACTCTCATCTCGTGACCAATGTATGTGCATATGAAAATGTCTTTTTGGGTTTAAGAATCAATGGAGGGATTTACTTAAAGAGAAATAAATGAATGTTTTGCCTGGATTCAAACACCTTTTAAATTATTTTTTTTAAAGATGTGTCACCCAAAGGGTCTACATTATATCCCAACTTCCCATTGGCATGTGGCAGGATACACCCAGGACAGATTAACAGTCCATCCCAGGGCAAACACATAGACACACAACGCAAATAACTAAGCATACTCATTCCTAAAATCAGTGTAGAATCTTCGACCAACGTATTTGTTTGTGGGTGGTAGGAGGATGTCGGTTGTCAGCGAGTCTATACATTTGCATGTGGAAACATGAAATATTCTAAATATGATTGAACTACTTTGGTCAGGAGCTCTGTTGGAGCTGCTGATTATTTCCATTTATCTGCCCCTCAATTAAGATACCTTTTTAGGGAGGGCATACAGTTGTGGACTTTGCTTTCAAGCTGTGGAACAGGTTTTTCCTATCAATGTCCTCCATGGCTTTTAAATCCCCTGGATAACTTTGACAGAACCTTTGTATTTGAACTGTTTTACTACATAAATCTGTCTTTAAGTATTGTTTTAATGTATTCTATTCCTTAACTTTTTTTGTCTTATAGTCTCTAATTTGTCACTGTAACGTTTTACTCTTCCCAATCTTTTTTATTGAAAATGTACATTCCCTGTTACCGATCTTCTCTCTTGATTAATATTTAGTTTTTCTGGAATTTAAGTGGTTGTTACAGACATTTACTCGGCTGTATCTGTGCTCAAAATTTCATGCATTTCCTAATACATAAATGCAATAAAGTAAAACAACTACAAACAGCTTACAGCTTTGTCGTTTTAGCAATGTCAAACTGAGCTGGTTTCTCTTGAGTCTCGTTAACTTCTCAAACATTGTTGAGACTAGTTTGCAAAAATGTGTCAACATAATTTTTTAATGACTCTAATAAGGCCTTGATCTCTCTGCTTACAGTCTGTCTTCAAGAATTTCGACACAGATGGTGATGGACACATCTCCAGGGATGAATTTGAAGCAATCAGAAACAACTTTCCTTACCTCAGCAAGTTTGGAGAGCTCGACAAGAACCAGTGAGCATCTATACATCTACCCACGTTGTCTCTAAAAGTGTTTTATTGACCAAGCAAAAATATGTTCATCCCCCAGAGATGGCAAGATCAGCAGAGAAGAAATGATAGACTACTTTATGAGAGCCAGCTCTCTGCTAAATTGCAAGATGGGTTTCATCCACACCTTCACAGAAGCAACCTACGTGAAACCCACCTTCTGTGAGCACTGCGCAGGCTTTGTGAGTGAACACGCATTTTAACATGTGAACAATAATATATTTCGGTTTGTCACATACAAAAAATGAAAATATAGGCATAAATTATCACTCAGACAACGTAGGCCTTAAAAGTATTAATCTGTGTTTTTGCAGACTTTTGTATTTTCTGACGTGTGATAAAATGTGTAAAGCACTTGTTACAAAAGATCAAAGTTAAGTTGCCTCATTATTCAATATCTGCAGCCAATTAGTTGTACAGGCTATTTGCACCTCATTTTTTTTCTCACCTGTAGAAATAGAGCATCCCTAAGGTCCCTTTTGTAAGGTCAGGCAATGCCATTTAAATTGAGCAGCAGCCGAGGTTTCACTCTGGAATTGGTAGAAAGGTAATTTTGTCAGCTGATGAACTTTGTCTGTGGTGATTTTTTTCTCTATATGACTGAGGGATGTGTGTTTTCTTGGCCTCTACGTACCCCCAAGAAGCTGTCTGTTATTTAGACACGGGCAGTGAGTCAGCACTCAGCTGTCATGAGAAGATGAATACGCCTTTATATTTCACTGGAGACACTGAGATGAATTCTCAGTCACTTCCGTGTATTGCATTTTTATCTGCAGACCGTTATGAAGAGAAATAAAACATAGATTAGGTGAACAGACTTCCATTACCACTCAACATCCTCAAATAGACACGCATACATGTTCTTGGCATAAGTTGGCATTTTCAAATCATCTTGAGGGGAAATTCAGAATAGACAGCAGGAAGGGATAAGGGTATCTGGCAGCATGCTTTTCCTCTCGAATATATATATATCTGTGTGTGGCAGAGGTAGATAGACCAGTCACTTTATTATCTGGCTGCTTTGCACTTTCCTCTTGGCTTCTGTGCAAAAACAATATTTTCCACTTTTCAGCACTTGTTATGATTATACTGGTAAACGCTGCAGAATATTCTCTCCTCCAGTGTCTCATACAGAACTTTGTCATTCTGTACTGCTTCACCAGCTAGCTCCGTTAGACTTGCATATTAATTACTGGCCAAAAAGGACACAAAGCAAATGCAGGATTCTGTGGTAAAGTGGTAAATTCAGAAATCAAGGAGCATTTATTGATCTCTGATTATTAAATGTGTCTACTGAATTTGTGCTTGCCGTTCCGAATTTTGCTTTGAGCAGATAAAACAGGCTAAAAGTGGATGGATATAATCTCTCCCTCTAACTTTTATCAACACTTTGTGGCAGCATTTTCTGTCATCTGGAGATCTTTGTAGAGAGATCATTAGTAACAAATTACAGTAATCAAATCTTGAGAAATAAATGCATACACTAGTTTTCTGAGACGGTATACTCCGAATTTTGGCAAAATTATCTAATCAAAGAAAACAGTCCTCGAGATTTGTTTAATATGTGGATGTAAAGATGTGTATATTATGAATTAGAAAATGTATTTCTGAGGCACTCGGTTCCAAAGATAACTACCTAAATTTCATCTCGCTTTAGAGTCAGAAATTTCAGAGATGCTGATCTGGATGTCTTTAAGGCGGTGATTGGTTTTATCTGACCTCATCAATATGTATATCTGAGTCTCAACTGCATAATAATGAAAATTTCTTTGTATGAAATGCAATGAGTTCCAACAGAATACGCACAAGCGCGAGTCCTGTATCAGAAGCTATTTCAGTGTAGATGGTCACAAAGTTGAGCAGCAAGATTGATTGAAACAACGTTATTAAAGGAGGTTGGATATGGATCTATGCTTAGTTGACGAGGCTGAATCCTAATTATGCTTAAGTGTTTGCAGTGGAAAGAATTCTACAACATATTTAGATTCACTTGGTTGTTCAGATGTTTGCAAGCAGATAAAGCCAGAAGCAGATCTAAATGCCCCTTTTTCTCCTTACAGTACAAACTTTAGGGATGGTTAAATATAATTCATATTTGGGAAGATGATACTATTGGATGTTTTCTTATATATGTACACCAAGAAGAGCTTAGTATTCTTAGGATAAAACCATATCAGACAGTGGGGAGTGAATTTCAAAAGGTCGTGATTCTTAATGGCCAAAGCATATGAGCATTGCAAAAATTTTTAAAGAAAAAAATAGACGATTTTATGGAAAGATTAATATTCATTTTTCAGTATAGTTATTGTAATCTAATTCAATATAGTTTTCTGGCATCTTATATTAACTTTCAACTAACAAGGAAATGTATTTTCAGCTTTTGTCTGTAGTTCATTGTGTTCCACCGTCAACAGTAGCAGTAAAGGTCAGTCAGTGTAGGCAGAGCTATGACGATGCTTGTGTTTAGATGTTCTGCTCATAACTGATTTCTCTTTGTTGCACAGCGTCTGTCCTTGTGTGTGTAACACTTTTTGTGTATGTGTGTAAATGTGTTACTGGCAGCTTATTTGAGTTCAAGTGTGCTCTGTATTTTTCTTGCATCCAAGGGGTCTATGTGTGTATGTGAAGAGGTCAGGATATTTTGTGCTTCCTCAGATGTGCCAGTGCAGTGTGTGATCTCCAGCTCAGCTCTTTCATGTCATTGTTCCCCCCACTGACTGTGTGCTCCCTGTGCCCTGCTTGATCTTTGTCTCTATCCACCCCCTCTGCCCTGCCAATCTCCTCTACTCTCTCTATCTTTTTTTTCACTCTGTCTCATCCTATATGTTGATCCCTTCAATTGGACCTCAGTATCAATGGTGGGTATCAAGCTATGAGCCAAATCCAAATCCAGCCATGTTATAAAATTGTTTGGTCCATAAATATTTAATTGAGTATACTTTTGCTATTATTGTGACCCATTTTCTGATACATAAATTATTCGATTTATCTATACCATAGCTTAGGATTCTACTTCGAATCACACCTTTTATGTGAGTGCTGTCAGAACAATTTGCCAATGGAAATTCCTTTACAAAAGATACAAGTGTATGACTAGAAAAATAAAATTGCAAGTGTTTGCTGCATCTTACGTTTAAAAAGTCCATTTTTATAACAGTACAAGAAAACAGAAAACGATAACATTTTAACTGAGAGCTGACTCATTTGAATGGTCATAGATTCCTTTTAAATGATAAATGAAGTAGTTAAAAAACTTCAACTTGAATTGGTGTGACTTATTAACCTGACCATATCATATTTGCCCAGGAACGGATCTGAGATTTTTTGTCAGGTTTTTAAATGGGTCAGCAGGAAATTAATTCATTTTTTTGTAATTAAGTAAAAGGTATTATTAATCTAAGTACTGTTTAATTTTGAAATAAACAATTTTCAGAAGTACAATCGAGAAACAGGAACTACTGGAGCTTGTTTTTACTGTAGCCATTTAAGTGAGTTTTAGTGATAAATGTCTAAAATACAAGCATATTATTTTAGTCACTAGTTTTTTTAAGGTACATTTACAATGCCACACTGTGTCTCCACATTCTGCTCATGCTATGCCTACCCACGTCTCTTCCTATCCATCCTAATTAACAGTCAACACTACTGCCCTGTCCCTTTTTTGTCTTTTTACAGATATGGGGTTTTTACAAGCAAGGCTACAAGTGTAAAGGTAAGAGCATAATTAACTTTGTTCTGCGTCAGCTGCACAGATGTTCTTGTTCCACTTGGAAAGCTGTATCCCCCTGAGAGTCATAAAATGTTGATATCCCACCCAGCACACACAGAGCCGATCAACACTGTAAACATAATCAACATACACAATACAGAACCCATGGCAAATATATAAAGTTTTTTTACCCAATGTCCATACACAAAGCCCTGTACACAAAAAAGTAAATGTGCTCCTTTAGTTGATGCCAGCCAGTTCGTCTAGGAAAGACCTCCTCCAGTGCTTAGGAGGTTTATCATTTTTCAAATGTACATTGACATAACACCTTCAAATGCTTCCATACTGGCAGTGTGTGCCCCTGCAACCATCTGTTGAATTATTCTTGCCTAAGCTTTATGCAGAATAAGGATTTCACTTGTAAATTTAATGATACATTTTCCTCATTATCTTCTTGAAAAATAAGTATATTAATTGGTTATTCACATATATTCTTAACTTTAACTGCTTCTTCATTCATTCATATTCACTCAGGTTGGCTAACCTTGGCTAGAAAATAGCTGGCAAGGTATTATACAACTTTTGAGACACAAAGCAGCCTGAGTATCAAATGTTCTTTGGGGCCTCTGAGATCTATTATTTGCTGCTTTCACAACACCTAACACCCTGTGTGAATCCCATCTGATCATAGATTTATTTTGTAATTAGCACTAGCCCTCCCCCACTAGTGTCAGTTACTATGGGATGACGATGACTCTTGTACTTGCTTTTGAGATGAAAGTGGACAAATGATGGGCAAAAAATATGTCTACACATGCAAACACACTTACACTTCTGAGGCACTTGGAGCCTACTCTTTGTGTTGTGTACTCCTTAGCAAAGTATTGTAGCCTGATGGGGAGTTTAGAGAGTTCTGGCATGTTCTATTGATGAAACCATAGGAAGTCAAAAAGACAACTGTCATTCATCCCCATAACCTTCATTTAGGCTATACTCATGGAGATTTACAGAGCGCCAGGGTTTTAATGGAAATTAATCACCCACAGCAGCCCATGGCAGGAGTGATGGAGCCCGAACTATGTGTTGGTTGTTGGATGTGAACAAAGTGGAAATTCAGCTTTAAATTTATTGGACCAAATGCATCTCTTTATATGAATTTTCATATGAATGTGTAACATTTGGATGCAAATTTCAATGAGTTTTTTCTTCCTTTTCATCACTTTTTTGGATGCACACTTTTTTACTTTTTACTCAGAATTCTAATAACACCTCAAAAAGGAGGATTATAGCAGCATTCATATCACACCAGATTATCATTTTTGTTTTTAGCTTTCTCAACCTTTTTGAAATGTGTTTATGTCATCAAACTCAACAAGCTAATATTTTCTTATAGTCTTTCTTTTCTTAATTTGTTTTTGAATACACTCTTTCAACATTTGAAGTTAATAAAGAGCATAAGAAATGTTTCCTATGTTAATTTTTTAATGCACTCCGACTTATTTGGTTTTAAGAGTTGTGAATTATACCAGTCTCAGTTAACAAATGAGATTCAGGTTGTAGCTAATAGCTGTGTAGGACTGTGTTAAAAGGCCAGTGGCTGCTCTAAATGTTAAAAAAAAAGGTTTTAATAGCCTCCATCTCAGCTGGCTTGATATTAGTTTTGAATTCAGTTCAGTATTTTATTACCAAAAAAGTCAAGGGGATAACAGTTTTCAAATGAATTGAAAAATATCTTTGTTGTCATTTTTGCCTACTTAGAAGAAGAATATCAGTGTAAATGTGTATTCACATTTGGTGTCTAATTGGGTGAGTCTTCACACCTCTCCTCTTAGACTCACCACTGTTGACAGAGTTCCTTTAAGGGAGAGTTGATCCGTCTTTGCATCAATGTTCATGTGTCTGCATGGAATGCAAGAAATATTTTCTGCCACCAGTAGTTCTCCAGTTTGACCCCAGTCCTGTCCCTCTGTCTGACCATTTCTTTCCACCTCATTCGCTCACCTCCCCTTACACCTCCCCATTCCCTTGTTTCTTTCCATTTCTATGGTCCTCCGTCCCTTTGTTGGAAATTGGTATGCTTTCACCGCTCCCTGTCGGCCTCGTTCTCTTCTTGTGAATGCTCGGGTTGCAGCCTGTGGGGTAAACTGCCACAAGGCCTGTCGAAGTCGCCTGGCTGTCGAATGCAGAAAGAGGACCAAGAGCATCAGCCATGAGACACCGCCAACCCTGCAGGCCAGGTCCTACAGCTTCCCTCCACCTGCCAACACTCCTCCCAGCCTGCAAAATACAGGTGAGATGCAATCGTAAAACTAAAAAACTAAAGGATAAGCATTATACACTAATTTCATACACTAATAGGTTGGTCAGGGGTTATGATTGGTCAGTGAACCAGTCTTGTATTTGTAAATGATAACATTAACCCACCAGCACCCAGGGTGACACAGGTGTAACAAAAGATTTAAATTAAACATATTTAGTAAAAATGGCCGATGGAACATCCATCCATCCATCCATTACCGCTTATTCCCTAATGGGGAGAACTGGAGCCTATCCCAGTGGTCAATGGGCAAGAGGCGGGGTAAATCATGGACGGTCGGCCAGTCCATCGCAGGCTGCTGCCCCCTGTGGAACATTACACACCTATTTTTTTTAAACCAATTTGATGAGTTCTCTATTTGCCGTTACTTTCCTTTAAATAAATATGGGTTTGGGTTCTTATAGGTTAAAGCCACAGAAAAAGAAACACCATAATAAAAACATCCACAAAACTATTACTATAGTTTCATGCGGGACATAAACAGTAATTTGACATTTTAAATATCTCATATTTATTTCAATAGCTTTAAAAAGTTTGATAGGTGTGATTTGCAGACACATAAACAAGGTTCCTGGTCCAAACCCCCTGGGAGGGCTGAGGGCCTTTATAGATCAGCATGCTCTCCCCGTATTTGTGTGAGCTCTCTCCCTGTACTCTGGTTTTCTTGCCACAGTATGCATATTAGGTTAATTGATGATTCTAAATTTCCTGTAGAAGGGAATGTGTCTGGTCATTCATCTCCATATGGCTATGTGAGGGGTTAGCGACCTGTCCAGGGTGTACTCCGAAATACAATGAAAGCTAGAATTGGCTGCAGGGCCTCTATGGCCCTACAAAGACAAGGGGTGCGGCAAAAATATGGGTGGATGTATTTGCACTGGAAGTTTTATTAACCAGCCATGGTAAACCCTATGAGCAGTGTTTATTGGGAGAAGTGTAAACTATCTGCCTCTATTTTGGATCAGTATGAGTTCCCTTAAACATTGTGTTTGAGAATACTGCTTAAAGATCTCTTATAGTTGATATACATGTGGGCCACACTTCACATAGTCTTCAGGTTAGAATTGTATTAATTGTTTCTTTTTTCATTTCAATCTGGTCGACTGGTCAGTCCACCTATCAGTTCTCCACCTTTACCTTTTTTGTTATTACCACCAGTAATTGCTGAAGAGGATCTGGAGACAGTGGAGGAAGGAGTATTTGATGTCCATCTATAACCAGGTGAGGGATGATGGCTCAAGGGTTATAAACATGTTTGGTGTTTTAATAATCTTTTATGTTGGTATTGAGTTTCACTTAAGCTAATTACTTCCTTTTTGTTTTTGAGACTTGACTCTTTATTCTTCATTCAGAGTTCTCAAGCAAAGTTTTTGTAGGAAATTGATCAGAAATTGCACAGCTCCGCATGGAGCAAAAATGATTTAAACAGCTTTATCAGTTGGCTAATATTTGATGTGCAAAATCAACAAAGCTCCCATTTAATATTCATAGTGGGGCAAACATAGTGTTAGGGTTACAAGTTTGCAGTTTGTAACGCAGCTTTTTTTGTTGAATATCATCTTTTTTTTTACTGAGCATCAGATCTTTTATTTTACATATTTGTAGATACCAGCGTTGCTGATATTTACATGCCTGATCATTAGAGAAAAAGAAACAGCAAAAAAAAAAATCTATGTTTAATCCAATTATGTTTTTTCTATGTATGTGCCAGACTAATTCACAGTCTTCTGTTGAGTTTTAATGCAGCTGCTGGCACCCTCTAACATTTGTGAATGTGGAAAAGATACAGTACATAACCCCAGTATATTATTTATTCACAATTATAGACCTGCTGTAAAGTAGATTTTTATTAACCTTGTGATTTGATTTAAAGATTAATTATGAATACAAAGATCCATGTGTGTGCAATAACAGGAGTGTATCTTGGTTAGGTGTTTCAACCATTTTTATTTGTTTAATTTAGCCTTTTTTCAAGAACATGAGTGCAGACTTGCGGCTGGAATTAACAGCCTGTGGACAAAAATGAGTTCTAGGTGGTTTAGTCAAAGATTGACACTCTGTTTGATATGAGTAATTCTTCAAGGCAGTAAAACCAATGAGTGTCTTAAAATATAAAACGATAAGAAAACGATAATGGAGATAAGATAAAACTTTTTCTCATAAGAGAATTTATTATTTTTTTTAATAAAAATGATGAACGACAATTGAAAAACAGCCCCTGGGGCAAACATGTGTTCACACAGGACTAATAAACTGGAGTAATAATCATTTATAAACTAGTTTAATACCTCAATCTTCAATAGTCAGTACTAACATTAGGGTCACTCTTACACCAAACCAAGTGACACATAGAAATGTTGACCATTTGTCCCCTTTGGACATTTAGGATCTCACAATTTTTTTTTTTTATTCCACTCATAATCTACTCTTCCCAAGGCACTAAAATGATAAAAACAGTATGTGTAATCATCTAAAAAAATCACTAAACCAACACTACGTTGTTACTATCAATGATAAATATTAGTGTCTCACAATTCTTTCAGGAGCCTTTAAAACAGCCACTGGCAGTTTTCAACTCTTCATCACAGAATCCCCTCCAAAGGTTGGTGTGCAAGAGACCAAGTCAGTGACTAAGGAGCCATAAAGAAGATATTCCACAGTTTATGTTCCTTTAAAAGTCCTTCACAACAGGGAGAAACTGCACTGCACACGTGCCAGGATACCTACATGCTGCCACACAGTGGACTCAGCCAGCAACAGCACTCCTCTCCACCTGAGTGACACCAGTGTGACAACCAGCACCGGTTAAAAATCAGCATTTTTTTTCAGTGTTAGCCAAGAGTGTAACGAAAATACTATTAAATGAAAAATTGGAGAAAAAAAGATCTTCACCATATTACTATCCGAGCTGAACATTAAAGTCAGTGTAGTTTGCTACAATTTGTTTACTTTCAAATATAAAAGAGGTGCTGTTACTGCCAAGAATGTAAAGCTGCCACCCAGACTAAGCTATTGTCCTCTTTACCTGAGCTGCTCCAATTTTTTTTTCTTATTTGCCTGCCATATTGATTTGAAATATATTTTGGTGGACATATATTAACAACCGATTTTGATGTCAGATGAATTACTGTTGATGTGTGGTGACCTCCTGTTGTGGAATGAAAAAAGCAACTATTTTGCAGACCAAAAAAATCAGCTGAAATACCTGTGTAGACAGCTATGATTAGACAGGACTGAACAATGTTGTATTTTTGTAATGTTTACCTGAGTATCAGTAGCTGTCTTATAATTGATTCTGTATTGTCATCTTCCGTGTAGAGTGCCATAAATGTAGCCAAAACAGTAAAAATACTGCTGTCAAATGAAGATTCCATCTGACCAAATGAAAATGTTGAGAGCATAGAGAGGGAGAGTGGCTGAGTTCCCACTGATTCTTCTATTGGTTTTTGGAACGGGCACATTTTTCACTCTGTCACTTAAAGTAACGTCATCAAAATAAATAAACCATAACTGGAGTCGCTTAATGAGGATTTTCATTTAGCAGCATTTTTCCTGAGAGTTTGTTTCAATGCAAGTTGTGTTTTGCTGTTATTATCCAGCATGCAGCCTCCACATTTCTGCTGCATGTGGTTTTATCATTTGTAATGTAGCTTGACAATTTGTCATTTATTAAGGAACCATTACAGGAGAAATGTTTCTGTTTCTTAGTGCCTGCGGAAGGATGAATTCAGTTGTTAAGCAGCAGATGCTAGCTGCTGGCATGTCACTGAATAAGAGTCCTCAGACTATTTATATATATTCTGTATGAATTGATAAAAAAAAGAGAAAATCCTGGTCTTTTTGTGCCTCATTTTGCCTCACAAAGTATATTTGATGTTTTTTAGAAATAATGCTATGCTTTTTCTTGTGGTGCCCAAATCAATGATCAGTATTAAATGCAACTGGAATCTTTTACATATGGTGTTAAAAATATCTGTGACAAATGTTTATTATTGGAAATAAATAAGATATTGTGTTGTATTTTTTAGATTAAAATTTAGTTGGTGAATGGTTTCTAAGTTCTGAAACAGGGGTCATGTCATTCAAGAAAATGTGGTATCCTGTTGTTGTATTAATTGCACACACAAAAAATAGATAATGGCACACTTTCAAATGCAGCAAGGCTTAGAGACCAAAATAACAATTCTGCTGACCAGAATATCTTCATAATATTTAGGACTAATTGCTGCATACAGCTTATAGACCTATAGCTCATAATATAGTAATGATTTAACTGTTTTAACATTGTCAAACTTAAACAGCATAGAAACATAGAAATTGAATTATCTCCAAGTAGACTCCACATTATACATCAGTCAGACACATTCCTGGCATGATACAGTAAATGCGCTCATTTGAGATTATATTGGCTAACGAGCTGATGAACTGGAGATGTGTTGTGTGTATAGATTTTGGCCTGTCAACCTTTATGAAGTGATCATACATATGTCTTCCTCTGGCAAAAAGCCAAATCATTGCTAAAAAGTATAACGTATTATATGATTTTAATGGCTTGACCTGATTTACTTGCACACTTAGGCATGAAAAATAATTTGACAAACAAAAAGATCTGCAATAAGTTGGTGAGCAAACTATATGCGAGTAAGCAAAGTAGCCTGACTATAACTTAACACCGATGCAAAGCTTTCAACATAATGCAATATGCATTCTAAGATCATACTCCCTACATTTTACTGGCATGAAACCAAAGCCTCTGCAGCATTGAATACCTCTTTCAGCCGAGTGACTGATACCTCTTGTTAAGTAGAAAAGCCCTCCTAGCAGCGCAGCTATTTACCCAACAGCCTGAGTGATATTGATCTGCAAAGTCTGAAAATAAGGGGATATTAAATACCACAGCAACTAATTGTGTAGTAATGAAGGCAGGAAGAAAATAACTTCAGACATGGTTTGCAGTCTTACTGCGGCCTAATTTGTCAGAAAAAGAAAAATCTGGGTTTGTAGATAAAATACATCCAAACTCAGATGATAGTCACCCCTTTGACAAATTAAACACGTCCGAGGTGCTGAGCAGTTTGAATGAGATTCAATGCACAGCACCCAGATAAGTGACAAAAAAAAGTATTTGTTCTAGAGAGACTGGAGGGTATTCTTTTTGGTAGCAGATGTAGTGGATGCGCATTTAACATGATACAAATTTTTCTCTCCCTCTTCGGGTGTGGCGGTGGCGTGCCCTCCGGTCGGGGGGCGGCCCCATACGGTTGCCAGGCCCGGACGTGGGGGGCTCTTGGGGCTCCGCACGGGGGCGGGGCTCCGGGAGCGGGGGCGCCCAAATGCAGCCGAGCGCGGCTGCCCTCTCCGGGAGGACCATGTTCCTCCTGGTTCACAACCCCTTACCCCTCTCCCCCCAGGCTCCAGCACACAGAACGCACTCAACACATAGGGATTCGGGATCATGGGGGTGTCTGCCGGGTGGGGTTAAGGGTGCCTCCTAGGAGGTC